GGCTCCAGCCCCCCACGACCCTAGTAAGGATTAAGTGGTGTATAGATAATAGATGGATGGACGGACATCAGGTTCTGGCATTCATGTGGCCGTTACTTTGACATGTACCACACACATAAACAGTGTTGCAGACAAAGCACGCTCCCAGCGCCTCTCGCCTCACCACAAAAAACTGCTCAGCAAAGGCTTGAGAAAGAGCCCAGAGCACTGACCCAGCCTCCAAACTCCCCAGGTCCCAATCTGTTCCCGCATGCACAGGATTTATCAGAACAAGCCCGATCCAAGGAGGCCTCACCCTGCAACCCCGAGGATGTGCTGCCAGTGTCCTGGTGCACCACAGGACCCCCAGAGGTCCCGTGTCCAAACCCCGACGGGTCAGAGCTGTTTAGACACCCACGAGGGTGACCTACACAGTATTCAGGAGGTTTTAATGTTGTGGCTGAGTGGTGTAAAATCAAGAGTCACATATGGATGATTTCATGATCGTCAGGGGTGGATTTTTTATTCAATGTTTCAATCATTTAAAAAAATGTAAATGATTTATAAAAATTTGTGAACAATTTATGAGTTACTAATTAAGATCTTACCAATTTTCTCAAATGTGTTTGACTATTTTAGGCATTATATTATTATTTTAACCATATCGCCATGCCCCAGTAAGCACGAGTGTATGAAATACTTGATTTTTGTTTGTTTTTGTGAAGCCTATTTTCAGCATCTAACAAACTGTTACTACGATGAGTAGCTTGAAAATGAGCCGATAAATCTCTTCACTACCATAGCTAACCCTTTTTGAAGGTGATCCTATCAGGGAATCACATGCACTGGCTTTAGATCATTGTTTTGGAAAAAAAAAATGTTTTCAAGTAGAAATGCTCCTGTAAGTAGAGGCTATTAAAGCCACACTGGCCCTGTGACTGTAATACATGTGGACTAGATCTATAATATATGCTTTAATATGTGTTTGTAGGGATGTACAATGCAACTCCCAAGTCTTTTTTTGCACATCTACTATCATTTTACACACTGATACATGAGAACAAACTCTGAAGCACAACTGAGGAAATCAGTCTTTTTTTAAAAAAATAAAATAAAATAAAAACTCGATTTGTCAATGGACGTTTGGTTCTGCATTTGCCACTGGCATCTTGCATGTGTTTTACAGCTGTTCACACATGCTTTTTGTTGTTGTTGTTGTTGTTGTTGTTGTTGTTGTTGTTGTTATGTAATCAATATCTAGATCATTGTCTATGGTGAGAAACAGCCTGTAGTGTTTTTGGCTTGGTCTACTGTGTTGATGATGGTCCATCAAGCAAGATAACCAGAAAATGAACATGTTTAATGGATGGTTCTTTTAGGCAAAATCTGGGACACTTCAGAAAATAACTGCTGGCATGATGGATGCACTGTTGTCTCTGGCTAATGTATGGCTTGTTCATATTTATTTATGCATGTCTCTGGGACAGTACACACAAATTTATGAAGCCCTGAAGGGTCACAGTGGGACTTTTTTATGGACTATTTTTTTTTGTTACTCAGAATACTTTTGTGTTTCCTTGCAATGTTTTTTTCTGTATTCCCACTGATCCATACAAACAGTTGCTATGTGAGTCTAATTATAATAGACTGCCAGTTTAGGGGAATGCTCTGCAGATACCACAGAAAGGAGAGAAGGTGCATTTATTCCTCATTACTCATCGTTCAGGTCGACCTGTGACAGTTTACCACCGCTGGTTGTCAGCACAGCTGTAGCTGCTCTTCCTGGCTGGGATGATGGCTGAAGCTGTGGATATGGTTACTGCTTGAAGTTCAGCTCCATTTGTACTTCCATATACAGTGTGATGCAATGGATATGTCCAGCTCTACTTTAACTATTTGGGTCTGCGGTGCTGCTATAACAGAAGTGTTACCAATACACCGCAGGAGTTCAGAAATAGAGTCATTTCAATGCAGCAGTCAGCCAGCTCAACCATCACTGCACACATACACACCCTTGATAAACGAATGTGTCACGGGCATAATTTTAATAGCCAAAGCACATCCATGGCTACAGCCACAATTACAGTGACAGCTGTCAAGCCATGGCTGCAGTCATAATCAAATCTACAGTACATCTGTCTCAGCCGGCTTCAGCAGCAGCTTGTAAGCTAACTCCACTAGTTTTCTGTCTGAATGAAATGCAACTCGCCTGTGTCTGAGCAGCCACAGCTGAGGATGCAGTGACTCGCATGGGGCCACAACCAGCGGCAGTCCACTAGAGGATACACAATACTATAAAGCTCTGTGGATTAGAGGAAACATTACTGCAAAGGAATGCAAATGTATTTGAGGTGACACACAATTATTACAAGGTAACAAAAGTAGTCCCTGGAATACAATCTTCACCCTTCAGGGGATTTGTACAATTTAAAATGGAAAGTAGAACAATATACTGACAAGCAACATGGCAAACATGCAGCATTAGCTGGAATACAACCGTACAAAAGCATATGGAAAGTAAACGTATGTAGAACATGCATGTTCCAGTTTTATCTCCTTTTTCGCTCTTCATTCTGCCCCTCCTAATTTTTACCTAATTTGTCCTCCTTTTTCATGTCTCCCCTACAGAGAGGAGGATGGTGAGCAGGAGGACAAAGCCATCTGGTACTACAGCACCAAGGTAAATGGGACTCATCTTTTTCCCTTGCTGGGGTTGTATTTCCACAACAGAATCACATGTAATCACTTTATCTTCCTGTTACTTTATTTTAGTTTCTTACATACAATATGTATGTCTGTCACCACCGTGTTCTTTCTTTCTACTAAAATGCATCCTCACATTCCCTGTTTTTAGCCAGTTAAGCCGTCAGAAAACTGAACGAATGATGTGTAAGGTATTGCATTCATTAAACTCTTCCTAAACTCTGTTCTTCCCAGGTCCAGCTGGCCGAGCTAATAGACTGCCTGGATAAGGAGTACTGGGAGGCCGACCTGTATGCAGCCCTGGAGGAGATAAGAGACGAGGTGCACATGCATATGGACATCACCGAGGACCTAACCAACAAGGCCCGTGGTAGCAACAAGTGTTTCTTCACCGCTGCCAATGGTAAAAAAGCTTATCATTCTTTGTCTTTTTCAGAAAACAGGCCCTGAGATTCTCAGATGGCTTCTGTCACTGAATTCAATCATGGCTGACAGGGAGAGAAGGATCTCTTTAAGCTCAAAATAATTTTCCTCTTTCTCTTTCTTGTTGTCACTGTGTCCTCATTCCTCTGCCTACTTTCTTGCCAGTAATCATGAATGCCACCCAGTCATAGATGGCTCGGCCATAGGAATCAACCCAGCTATTATGTAACCTTACTCTGGTCCCGGTCTGGCTCGTGTCCAACACTTGAGCTTCCCCTCAGTCCCTCATCCTTTCCCTTCTGCCTGTAGGGCTTCCACCAAAGCCCTGCGAATCTGTCGGCTTTCTGTGTTGATTAAAATGATGCACATTTGAGCGCATAACAGCACGTCGTATTTATAGCATTCAGTTCGCTGTGCAGTGGAAGTTCATAATGATTATGTTTTGGAAAATTCTACCCTTTAAATGGCGTCGTTATGAGCTGTGTTAACTTTTGATGCAGTGGAAACTCGCAGTTCTAAGAAGCATCTGCTGTGCACAGATAAGTTAAAGATGTTCTCTGACAATGAGCTTTTATCTTTTTTATTATTTTTTTTTCCCTTTACCCCCGGGAAGTAGACAATACAGGCAGAGAAAAAAAAAGTTTGACACTGGAATGAATAAATACAGCTTTCGTCAAACGGTTTCAAACTGACAGCAGAATTGTTCATCCTTGTAGCACTGTCATATTTGTGTTTCTTTGGTTAGAGTACACAGTACAGCAGCCTCAGTGGCAAGATGCGTGTTGCAAACTTATTACAACTGCTACAAAGATACACAATTTCTGAGTCAGAAAAAAAAGTGCAAGAAAGAAAAAAAACTTTATGACTAGAAAATGCATTCCCTCCTAACTTTTGGAGCCTGTTCTGACAGCTCATCTACAAGACTGGAAATCCAGAAATACATCAAACAAAGCCGAGTAGCTAACATCAGCTTTCATTAAATGTAGTTTGTTTTAGTTTATACAGTCATTTTATGATTCTCACGTAAAATGTACATGTTTCCTTGCTCTCAACGGGTTATCATCTTGTCATTATACAATATTGTTCTTCTTCTTTTAAGTTATTCTGGTAGATTAATTGTAGCAACTGGACTTGCTTGAGTTCCTTGAAGACGTTCCACCTCTCATCCAAGAGGCTTCATCAGCTCTGACTGACTAGTTGGGAGTTCCAGATACTTATATCCTAAAGGATCCATTAACACCTGAGTTTCGGTTTTAATTGGGGGTTTGTTCCTCCTCCCCCTCGTTATATGGGTCATTAGTGTTCCCTCTGCCACAGTGGGGCTCGTCAGGGTCTTTTGTGGCTAGGTGTGAATGTGGTTTCATCTTCCTGGAGAGAGATCTTAGGACTGAATTGAACTGAATTGACTGAAACAGGTGAGAGATGGATGGTCTTTCCAGTTTGACATAGACGGCTTCTTTCACCCCTCTCTCAAACCATCTGTCCTCCCTGGCCAACATCTGTACTCAGGTGTTAATGGCTCCTTAAGGATATAAGTATCTGGAACTCCCATCTAGTCTGTCAGAACTGATGAAGCCTCTTGGATGAGAGGTGAAACGTCTTCAAGGAACTCAAGCAAGTCCAGTTGCTACCATTAATCTACCAGAATAACCATGACCTGGATGACTTGAGAATCTTCACAGACTTCTTCCTTTCAGGTTTGTTAGGAAATAGTGACTGCATCTGCAAATCGGTGTTTAAACGAAGGGGGAAATGATCTTTGTTGAAAAAGTTGTGGTAGAAAGAACAAGCTGGAAATGCTTGTTTTATGACAAAAGAGAGCTGTTAGTTCTATCTGATGCAAAATTTCCAATTTGGGAGATGACCGAATGGACACCGATGGTTATGATGTCCAACATAACAAACGCATACACTCACTCAAAGTCAGACTTAATGTGCTGAACAAAAACAACCTGACCACAGAATCCTTAATCAAAACTTCTGCATCACTCATGCACACATAGTTATGTCTCCCTCAGTAATAAAAGACAGATTTGAGTCATTTGCATTTTTGATGTTTTCCTCTTTCCTTGAGCTTATTTTTTCAGACCTGCCATCTGTCTGTATGAGAAGTTAAGTATTTTGGACAGACAGAATTCTTTCCTGAATTTAATTGCTCCTGCCCCCGTTCAAATTTTCCTCAGTGATTTATTTGATGGAACACGATAATATCTGAAACAGCTGCTTGCCATCTATTTTCTACTTTGTTATATTACAAATTGTATCGGTGCAGACAGAGGTTTTACAGTCAGCCAATCTATCAACTTTATTTGTTTCCAGTGGGGAACTTGGTTATGCGAGCAATGGGATACACACATTCAGCACCCATTAAACACAAGACACATAAATACAACACTAAAAGCATAAATACAAGGTAAAATATTCAGTGAAAACCCTTCTGCAAAACTCCCATTTCCTACTCGCCTTTTTGAGGGAGATGGCAGTGGATTTTTTGATTCTCTTGGTTTTTGCTAGTAAAAATATGAGAAGAGTGCTAGAAGGCAGAAACTAAGGCTGAAGATGTTAATGATTGAGTTAGTTGAATAAATGCAGGTATTACTCTGATAGAAATGTAATAACCAGTAAAGGAGACAATGAGGAACGTTGTAGATTAGCTGTAGTACCTGGTTCTTCCACCTGGTGCCTTGTACCGCATAATGCTGATGGGCAAGCAGAGAGCATTGTGGGAGTTTTTTTAATAAAAAACTATCTTCTGTAGTGGTTAATGACCTGTAGCTTGACCTGACGTATCAAAGATATTCTGGAGTACAGCAGGACGTTGTTCCTAGAACTGAGTGGCTTATGTGACCAAGATAGCTTTAAAGCAAATGTCACATGCCCATGATGATGAAAAATAGTTCTAAAAGCATGTGGAATAATTCCCACTGTACTTTAACATCAGTGACATTTCCTGATTAACAGTGCAGACTGTCATTTATGAACACTGTTTTAAATTTGCATCACGAGTTTTTAATTAAAAGTAACACATTAGGGGTGTAAAGCATTAATCAATTGATTGCCGTTATTAATTTAACAGATTGAAAATACAGCCGTGACTCGATAGTGCAACACTAAATGTAAAACCTTCTTTTATGTCGGATAGCAAGGCTGTCGGATTGTCAAGACGGAGGTTAAGATACAAGGAGGGCTTGATGCTTGAAGGGTCATTTGTTGTTAATATTTGTTATAATAACTAGTAGGGCTGGTCTGAATAGAACTTTCTGGTCTCTGGATATTCAGGTCCAATTAATGATGAATATCCAAACATTCGGTGCAGTAACGGGGTACTCGTTGGATCGTATTAAGTTCACACAGCAGATCACATACAACACACATAACGAACTTGCAAAAAAATTGGATTTCACAAAAAAATCTGAATTGAGCATTAAGTCCTGCAGTCTGAACGTAGCCAATCTGTCGGACTGTTCAGTCAGATAATACGCTGTTATCCTTATTTGTGACATAAAATGTCATGTTGGAGTCGGAATCCAAGGCTGTCGGTATGTTAAGGCTATTTTTCATGGGTTCCATTCATTTTTCCTAAAAACCTGTTGGATGGCAAGGTTTTCAGATTGTTAAGGGTTGGATTATCAAGTCATGACTGTATATTAACCGATATGGTAGAAGATGAAGGACATGCATGTCAGATAATGTATCGTAGATTAGCTGTAGTACCTGGTTCTCACTGTGTAATACACTCGTGACCTGAGGAGGCGGCAACTCGAACTATAGGCAGTTCATGTTGGCGTGTAGAGAGCATTGTGAGTGTTAGGTTAGCAACAGGGCCACTATGACAAAAACTCCTGTGATGCTTAATGGAATCTGGCCAGCTCTCTGATTTTTCAAGTCAAGTCAAGTTCAAGCCTCATGTCAGCCTTATGGAGTCATTTCCACTGTACTCACTTCGTATTACTTGTTAATGACTTATTGATCGGTACTGCTGCTGACTGATAATTCAGAATATTGTTCAAAATTTGCACTCCTAACTGAAACTGTTGGTATGCAGGACAGGAACCATCAGACAGGATGAATGTGGCTTTCTTTCATAACTTTGTTTGGACATTGAGCAATTGATGACATCAGATAAACAAGAATTGCTCGGTTGGGTTAATCTGTAATGATGCCACCCATGAATCATACTCCCACGTGTCTTCCACTGTTTATTAATGGCGCCTCACATTCTAACACTGGATTGATCAATTTAAAACTGACCACACTCTATAATCTAAGTTTTTAGTGTTGTTATAGAGAGTAGGTTGGGATTCAGGTCCTGTTTAAGGGTACAATGCAGTCATTGTACACACAAATTATCTAACACAAATCATAAGCAGTGTGTTGCTGCCACCGTTTGTGATGTCTAAATAAAGAGCTCTGCTTGAAGGGAACTCTGTGTCTTCTCAGTTTTTTGGTCTGACATAATTTAACCCCAAAATGTCTCTTTTTTTTTCTTTTTTCTTTTATAAATCTTTTCCTTATTCATATTATATCAGTCGTCAGTTTGATCAATTCATTTCTGATACCTTGAGACTGATATGAAATTTAGTTGCGATACTATAAGTTTCACTTTAGATGTTTTCTGTTCCACGATACGGCTCATCACTTGCGAACAATTTCAATTTTTTTTTGAGTTTTTTCGTACTTCGTTTTCTGACGAGAGGCTTCAAAAAGTTGTGATGCAGCGCCTTTTTAACATACAGCGCATGACAAGTCAATGAGATTTCAACATAATTCTTTTTGTTGTTGTTCTTTCACCACTGAGTGCATGTTTCACAGAAGCTCCCTGTCCGTCACTGGTTCTTGAGCTATTTCCAGGCTGACCCTTTTAATTTTTATTACACTTTTTGTTTTTCCTTCCTCTTTCATCCAGAGGAGATCCTGGAGCGATTGCGAGCCAAGAAGGAGGAGGAGCTGGAAGAGGTGAAAAGACGGGCTGCCGAGGAGGCTCAGAAAGCGAGGTTGGAGAAGGAGAAGATGGAGAGCGATTTGGAGAGGGAGGACGAAGACGCCAAGCTAAAGGGTGAGGGGCAGCAGGACAAGATGAAAGATCTGACAAGGGAAGATGGGGAGCAGCGGGCGAGAGAAGAGGCTACAAAGGAGAGGGATGCCGTCAAAACTGGAGGTGATTATGGCCTTCTTGAATTTTACATCGTACTTATAGCAAATAATGATGAGATTAGAAGACAAGAAAACCTGTATTTCTGGCTGTTGGTACCTGTCCTGTGCCTTATTCTCTATTTTCTGCCTGAAGAAAGAAGAACATCACTATAATTGTGTAATTAGTTATTGATTAAAGGATCAATTTCACTTATTGGTCCTCTTTTTCATGACTCAAGTGCCAAGTTTGGCACTCACAGTGAATCTATGTTCATTTATGGTAATGTTTCTTATGGATCTGTACTATCCAGTGCAATAAAGAGGTTCTTATACAGATTAATAAGCTATTTATTACAAACCCACAAACATCATGATGCAAGTGAACTGTAGAAGTTGAGATAAAGTTTCAAAGATAGAATACGTAGCCTAATTTTCTGATTTAATTGCATTTTCCAGCCCCAATCATCACTTTTTTTGCCATTATCACTAAGTTAACAATGCATTATCAGCTAAAATCCACAATATTGACAATACTGCTGCTGTTCATCTGTAGTCGGTGAAGCGCCGCCCACTGGCCGAGATGGCAGTAGTGGCAGTAGAATCTCAGACGGGCCCGTACTCCCAGCTACCTGTTCTCCAACACAAACCACCACTATGAGCTCTAGTGTGCCCACTGAGGCTTCAAAGCCCCCAGCCTCCACTGTAGAGGTTCGGAGAGACGGATGTTCCCATGCGGAGGTCTCTAACAACGCTCAAGGTACACAAGAACATTTACGGGTGACATTGTCCTCATTAAGCTTCTTTTGGGAATCTGCTTCACTGCCAAAGTCTGCCGCTTCACAGGATGGTGATGAATCTCATACTTCTGGCATCACCAGTGACTTGTTTATTCCACCATAAACCCCCAGTGCTTTGGTGTTCCTCTTGATCATTTCCCTGCCTGGCTCTTTGCATGTGGCGCTCATTCCATCTGCTGGCTTTTTTTTTTTTTTCTTTTCGTTCAGTTGTCCAGTTATTTCTTGAATCAGCCTTGGAACCCTTTTCAGCCATTCTGCGCTTCCAACCTCAACTCTTTACACTTTCTTCTACTCTAAAGGGATGAGAAGCTGATTGCATCGAGTTGATTCGTAATCACACGGCAGTCACTACAATCAGCATGACTAGAAGCAGGCTTCTAACAGCTGGGGACACTGTTCACATTGCCTGTTGCAGTAACTCTTGAAAAAAAAAAACGCTTTTCTTTGGATGCTTGCTTGTAATCAGCGCCTTAGATTAAATATTGTTCTGTTTAGTTCTAGCCTTTGTTGGGTAAATTGTTCAGTGATTATGTGCACATATTGGTCTTTTAACAATTACAGAGCTTCACCATTTGTTGTTGTGGTCATGTATGCACAAGCCTTGCTGGAGCCTTGTCTTGCCTGGATTCGCTACTCATTGCTTTCAAGTGACCCCTTCCAACACTCGAACTGGCTTTTCGCTGCATGTATTATGCATTACTCATCAGCAGAGGGAGCCACAGCCTTAACATTTTTTTTAGAAGTGTCTCAAGAAAGCGTTTGTCTTTGCTAAAACTAAGTTTATTATGTATATCGGTCGGTGTTAATCACCTTTCATAGTTTTTTTTCAGTTCAGCAATTTCATCCTGGGCTACCGCATTCATCCTTCTGGGTAAAACAGTCCATGAAAAATGCCTCTGATGACGGCTGATGACAAGCAGAACATCTCGGTTAAGACATGCCAGGCTAATGGTCAGTGCAATTTATGCTTTTCTGTCTGCGTAGCAGAAAACTCCAATTCTGTCCCTGTCAGTGGAGATGGCGTCCCCAGCCTAAGCCAACCCTCCCAGCCCAGCGAGGAGAACAGTAACAGCAGCATAGGAACTGGTGCCCCTCCCAGGGTCCCTGAACCCCCCGACTTGGCTGACAAGTCCTCCCAGTCATCCATGGCAAGCTTCGATGACGCAGGTCTGACAAAGCAGCAAGTCATCATTACATCTTGTTTAGTTGTATGATTATAGCTCTCTTTTACAAGAATATGTATCATACTGGATACTGAGGAAAGCTAACCTTACAAGTCAAAATCATGCCAGAAATAGCTGTACTAGTGCTAGTCATCTACACATTGTATGTATTTAATAGGCCTCAGAATAGACTAGTAGTGCATTGAAATGAAACTTTTTTTTCTGTTTAATAATCTCTGTACATCATATCACCAGCTCCCTCTGTGCTTGACTGAACTTGGCATTGCATTTCCAGGGGACGGTAAAGACTCAACCAACGGTGACACGGCAGGTCTCGGCAGCAAGAAGTCTTCCGCTACCCGCATGGTGACCCGGCTGAGGAACCCGGACAGCAAGCTGAGCCAGCTGAAAAACCAACAGGTTGCAGCTGCTGTTCACGAAGCCAACAGGGGCTTCAAGGAGGGCAAAGAGGTGAGAAATGAGTTTGCTCTTTCAGGTGATACATGAAAAATGTTAACACAGCGCCTAACAACGACACAACCGGCCCCTCATCAAGGATTCTAAGTATCTTCGAAGGAACAGTGTTTTAGATGCATTATTATAAAGTAGTAACTGTAGGTCATTTCAAGGTTGCAAATCAGTGACAGCTTTTTTTTTTTTCATTCACAGCATCTAGTTGCAATGAGTTCTTTTGCTTTCCTCTCTAGGTACTGGTAGTAAATGCCCAAGGTGACATCACCCGTGTCAGCACACGCAGCAGCAAGGAGGTGGTCATGAAGGGGACCATCTGCCAATACTTCAAGCTCGGTCAGGAAGGCAAATACCGCGTCTATCATAACCAGTACAGCTCCAATGCTCTGGCCCTCAACAAGCACCAGCACAGAGAGGTAAGCTGCATGACAAATTGCTGGTTCTGCCATTTGAATGTTTGTTATAAATACTCATTAATGTGCCAGGCAATACAATAGTAAGATTATCATGAATATATCTGTCATGAAATGCATGCCTGCATGCTGGCTTAGTGGTTCCAATACTATTCTGGGCTTTTTAGCCTCTCCTCATCATTGCAAAGGTGTTTTCCTGTTATTACAAAAACATTCAAGTCAGATTGGAGTGGAAGGGGGATTATAAATTGTCCACAGTTGGAAATTCTTGTTTGTTTGTGTCTGATTACCAAGGATAAGCTTTATTCCTCTTGTGTAGCAGTTTTGGACCTGGTATTAGGCAGGTGTTGAATGAATTGTCTTTCTGACTCTACTCATTTGATTTTCATCAGGACCATGACAAGAGGCGGCATCTCTCCCACAAGCTCTGCATGACACCAGCAGGAGAATTCAAGTGGAACGGGTCCATCCACGGCTCTAAGGTGTTGACCATCTCAACTTTGAGACTCACCATCATCCAGCTGGAGAACAATGTTCCAGCACCATTCATGCACCCTAACTGGGCCTCACACAGGTATCGACACACAAACTGTTCAGCGCGTATTGGTTTTAGTGCTTTAGTTTGACAGCAAGGTTCAGTAAATCTGCATGTAGACATGAATGCAATGTGGCGTTTTTACCAAAATGTAAAAGCAAACCATGACCAAATGTAGCCTAAATGTGAAAGCACCCTTAGTAAAAAGAGGCTGAAGCATGTGAAATGTTTTTTTGTTTGTTTTGTAGGACCAATTGGATCAAAGCTGTTCAGATGTGCAGCAAGGCCAGAGAGTTTGCACTGGCTCTGGCCATCCTGGAGTGTGCCATCAAGCCTGTGGCTATGCTGCCTGTCTGGAAAGACTCACTGGGCCATACCAGGTACATAAATACTATACTTGTAGGTATGTACAGTACACACTATGTACGCGTATGAATCTGCACTTTTGCCCACTGATATAATTTCCCAAAACACAGACAGATTCAGTTTAAATGTAAAACACTCAAATACTTGAGAAAACTCAAACAAGCATTCAGTGCATGTACATGGGATGTGCGCCCAGTTTAGCAGGCAGAGCCGATCATAACCAGATCAGATCAAAAGGCCCACCCTGGCTGTGAGGCATAATATTTAGACTGCAAGTCCACCACCAGCACCACCCACCCCTGCCTCAACTACTGCTTCAGCACCGCGAGGCCCCTTTAAAGAGGTGATTGTCCAAGATTTCACAAGGTTAGGACCAGAATGTGGGTATGTATATGTCTGAACTATGAACAGAAGAGACTTGCATTTCAACAACTTGGATTACAAGTGTGTATGTGAGTGTTTCTTGGAACTGTTCCAAGAGCAGCTGTCATCGTCTCATCTGTAAGGAGGGCTTTGATCATACTTTTACATGAAGGAGAAGCTGCTCGATTGTTTATTTACATTTAATAACATGGGAAAAAAAGTACAATTGGCTAACAGTGAAGAAATGACATCCTTCTCTGTGCTACTGGTCTTAGCATAAATATACTAACAGTTCCAGTTTAGGAGCTGCAGGCTGTGCCAAATGACAATTCATGAAACTGTTTTCAGGTTGAACCGCATGACATCCATGGAGCGTGAGGAGAAAGAGAAAGTGAAGAAGAGGGAAAAGAAGCTGGAGGATGAGGAGACGTTGCAACAAGCCACCTGGGTCAAGTACACCTTTCCAATTAAGCACCAGGTACGTCACATACATACCCACAAATTACAGCTTTTCAGATTTAAAATTTGCTACAAGAAGGAAGACACTCTAACACTCTAATACACTCTGAGCACATCAGATCAGATTGGATCACCCTCACTGTGCATTTGTATTTATTACTAGCCAGGAAGACTGTGTCATCATGCCCAGCGAATCTGACACTAAGCTGAGCATCAGTGTTGATTTCCATGACACTGGAACGTTATAAAACATCCTGAGGCAGCCATGTTTAGCTGCACCAGTGAAAAAATTGAGTGTCGATTTGTAAGGATAACATCCTAACTCTTCCACCTATTGTCCGAGCCAACATGAAACATGTACTCATAATGGGATGACAGTAGTAATGTTTCATTCTAATCTCCGCCTACATTGAAACTTAATGTCTGGAAAACTGAGTCACTGCAGTGGGAAACAGTTGTGTGTATGTTGTGGATGTGTGCATGAGTGACCATCAAGGGCTCTTTGATGCAGCAAGTTGGGCTCTGCTGTGAGTCATTTCCCTCAGCAATTAGTGATCACTATGTGAATAACCTCTAAACTTTTAAGCTCCTTATATGGTCACTCTCTCATTTTCCCACAACTTTTTTCTGTCTCTTCCAATTTACTTTTCTCCATTTTAAATTCTTGTTTCTCTCTCCTTTTTTTTTTTTTTTTTTATCCGTCTTGTCCTCATTTTTTTGTCTACTTTCTTGTCTGGTGCAAAGGTGTGGAAGCAGAAAGGAGAGGAGTATCGTGTTACGGGCTACGGGGGCTGGAGCTGGATTAGTAGGACTTATGTGCAGCGCTTTGTCCCCAGGCTTCCCGGCAACACCAACGCCAACTACCGCAAAGAACTGGAAGGTCTGGAACTGGAGATTTTGGGGCCTAAAGTGTGGTTTTTGTTTTTTTTGGAATTAAAGTTTTTTTTTGCCTATATTTATATCTTGTTCAGTTATCTTAACAATGTGAATTTTATGTGTTGGTTGGGCTGCAGGGAATTAAGCCTCTCTTTTGATGTGGATCTCATCAAGTTCTATGTTACCATTTCTAAAGAGATGTCAGATTTGTACTGAGATGCGTCCAAACTAAGATTTTTACTTATGTGGCTCTCATGAGTTTACTTGACCAAAAAGACGATCAAAGACCTGACAGATAGTTTGTATTCTTGTTTTTCCCTACTGATAATTTATGTTGTTAACTGTTGCTAGTTCAAATATTTATGGATTTCTTAAAGAGCCCAATTATATTATATTATTATGAGTAGCTTTTTTTAAAAACAGACTAATATGGAAAATAACACTTCTCACTGTGTTTTTCCAAAGATGCTAAACTTGGCAAGAAATGTACCCTCTTGGACTTGAGTCGACGGCCGAGTGTAGTCGCACCTGAAGCTCAGGGTGAGGCCGCCTTAAGCAGTGAGGCAAAAGATCAAGACTCATCGAGCCTCTCCAAGCCCGATCATCTGACGTCCGCTGAAGGTTTAGAGTCTAATGAGCGGATGGAAGAAGAAAAGAAAGAAGAGGTAGATGAAAAAGAAAAAGAGGAATCGTCAGCGGTAGAATCGCCAGCAAAGATGGAGGTGGATCCCACAGACTCACCGTCAGATGAAGAGCGAAGTATGACAGAGTGCGACTTTGTGTCTAATAACATTGTATTCAGTTGCACGGTCAATATGACTGATCTTACATTGGTAATTTGTCAGTGTCATCATCATTTGAAACCCATATTTTTATTTCCCCAGCTTTCTCCTACTTGATTAAAAGACATTACAAGGGGAATGTGATGAAGTGTCTCAATTATATGTCAACGTGAATAAGAGTCTAAATCGGTTTTCTCTCCAGGGTCCAGTGTTCACGAGGACAAGGCTTCCCTGAAAGAGGAGCCGACAGAAGACTCCCAGCGGCCCTTTAACTATGATGTCGTGGACGTCAGCAAGGGCTTCCTCACCCGCATTGCCTACAAGAAGAAGGTCAAGTCCTCCAAGCTGGACAGCCTGCTGGAGCGCCGAGTCAAGCAGCACGTAATCGAAGAGAGACAAAGACCGCAGGTGTCGGCCTCCACACCCCAGAGCACAACGCCCGTTTCCTCCACTTCAGCCCCAGCTCTGAGCACTCCGGTCCGGCCGCGGTCGCCACTCAAGCCGCACGCTCTCGCTCAGACACAGCTCGCACTGGGCGACGCTGTGAAAGTGGAGGAGAAATCTTCCACAGCAGAAACTCCAGGGCCAGGAGAAGTTAGAGGACAAGAAGCAGAGCGGCAGAGTCCGTCTGAGCTCTCTAAAACTACAGATAAAATCGTCGCTCCTCTTCCTTCTCCTGTTTCGGACTCCACACCCAAAGACAGTTGTAGTACAGGTACAGGTGAAGACTCTGATTCACCACAAAACCAAACCACCTCTATGCCCCAAGAGTTAGAGGAAAACCTAACAGAAAGGACTACGGGGCCTAAAGAAACTAGTTCAGACAGTTCGTCGCAAGAGGGTGTCAAACTGCCCGATGTGCAAGAAACAACAGCTGGGGGAATTCATAGCTCTTTAGAGCAACAAACAGCCTGTGTTGCATCAGATGTTACCAAGGCTGCACGTATTGAAAATACAGGGCCTGAGGTACCCAGCTTAAAATTGGACACTGTAAGGACATTTTCCAGTGTTCTCCATCAAAACAGCAGTCAGAACACTTCTCCTGCTAAACTTACTCAGCAAAACCCAGAAACTTTAAGCTCAGTGCATTCGGGCACAGAGGAAAATGGCATGGGGCCAGAGGAGAACCAAGAAAATATGCAAGGCACTGGACATGGTAGAACCATCGGTGACAGTACTCCTGAGCCAGATTCTCCTCTCCCTCAGGTAAATGGTAATGATGGCTTGGGTAGTGAAAGCATTTTGAGTAACTCTGTAATGAGCTCAAATAATGGTTTGCTCACCAACAAGCCCCAGCCCAAGGTGAACAGCATCGGTAAAGTTGAACAACAAGGGCTGGTTGTCTCGTTGAAAGACGGCACACAGCAAAAGCCTTTGGTGAATGGAGATTTGGCCTCCGTAAATGACCGTACGGAGGTTCGGGAAAAAGAACCGAGTCCAGTTTCTAAGGTAGAGGACAAGATAACGTTGTTCGACCAGGATTACAAACCTCCACTGAAGATCTCAAGGCTGGAAAACAACATAGACACGCAACACAACAGTGCATCAGCTTTTCAATCTGTGGCGACCAAACCCAGTTCTGGGGTCAAGATCATAAGGATGGCCCCATCTCCTATACCTTCTGCGGAAGAGTCCAGCCTCAGCGACGACTTTGCAGAGGAGAACAGTAACAGCGGGACGACGGAACCTCTCAAAACCATCATCACCCAGGTAACCACGACCTCCACCACCACCACCACCACGGTAGTTTCCACTGAAATGAGGATAGCCAAAGGGCCATCGAAAACATCCGGAGATTTGACGACGCCTGTGACGTCGACAACGGAGAGCAGCGCAGTGTCTACTCTTACCACCATGACCAAAACAACTGTGACCAAAATCTGTTCCTCCGGGCTCGACGGACAGTCGGAAGACAGCCAGAGCGAAACAGTCAAGCAAGAACAGAAAACGACGCTCTCTGCCTCCATCAGCGAGTCAACGACTGGCACCGGCGGTAAAACCTCAGTGTCTTCAATCACTGTGAGCCAGGAGGCCTCGTCGTCAACGAAGGGCCGAGTGCGCCTCCTCAAATTCTCCCGCACCAAGAAGACGCGCTCGGACACAGCTCTTCCTTCTTACCGCAAGTTTGTCACCAAGAGCAACCGGAAGAGCATTTTTGTGTTGCCTCATGACGACTTGAAGGTGCTGGCGAGGCGAGGCGGATTCCGCGAGGTGCCGGTGTTCAGCTACAATGCCAAGCCGGCGCTGGATATCTGGCCTTATCCTTCACCCAGGCCCACATTCGGCATCACCTGGAGGTACGCTCGCTCTCTCACTTAATCTTTCTCACACATTTTCTATTCAGTGTTCTCTGTTTCTGAGGGTGTTGTTGAAGAGATGTAGAGGCTCTAGAAACTGGACAGGCTACTTTGTGTAATGATACAAAAACGGCAGAGGAAGGCAATCCAAATAGCGGATACAGGATAAGGGCAACGATTTAAACTGAGGCCTTTTGTCTGTGAGGCAGTGAATGCAACATGACGTCACAACGGATGTACTGTTGGACACCAGATATTGAAATGGGGGTGAGAAATTCAAATCCGAAAAAATTAAGTCAAAGTTTTATGGTATTTTTAATATGGCATATTGATTTTACTATTTGACGGTCAAACTTGATTTGTACATATTGACTTTTTAAAAAATCCTAATCATTTCAAACCCTGCATAAAATTTAGTATTCACTTGTATCATTATTTTACAATAGGCCACTCCGGGGTAACATATTTAACATTATTTAGAAGACACCCCTTTTATACATATAAGTATTTTTTTAAGTTGATTTATATTTTGGAGAAGAGCATCCGGTCAGTGAAAGTGCATTCCATGAAGAGGAAATCAAAATATATGGCTGCTGGACATCGGAGTACTATTATTCACATTTACCCTGTTTTCAGCTTTACTTCTGGCTACCTGCTTATTGACAGCAGCTGATTGGACACTTTGGTCTAGTGATGCTGCAATAAAAAGTCTTACAGTTTCACTCCATTTTTAGTCTGTGTTGAACCAGGAAAAATGAAAAACTGTTTTTAAAGAAATTAACACATAAAGGTAAAACGAAACCAAAAAAATTATAACCATTTTTCTTGAGACATTCATCTCGACTTAATCGACTCCAAAAAGCTGTTGTGCTCCGTCTAACTACAGTTAGTTCCAAGAACATGTAATTCATAATCGGAGAAGGAGTGTGACATTTTACGCATTATTGTCTGTGTAGCTTTGTGGTTCTTAGATTATAATGTCTTTTTTTTTTCTTTCACACTTATTCAACAGCTGCACTTTAAAAAGAACATTTGTGCAATTTACCAAAAAAACAAAAAAAACAAACATGGGGTCAAGGCCAACAATATTTTCCGTTATCGTTTACATTTAAATCTTCTCCTGGTTTTGTCAGAGCGCCATGTCCCTGTTGATTTATTGTCCGTTATGTCTTCTCCCTTCCTGTCCGTCATTGGCGGCTTTGGCCCAGAGTGATGCTGTAGCTCTGGGTCTGGTGTCACACAGCGACCTCTGGTTATTTTGACCAGACCTCAGAGTTCCGAAGCAGACATGAATCATCCGGTGGTCAGAGAGGTGTCACGATGTTCACTTCGTGCACTGACCAAGCTCCTTCAGCCCAGCCGTGTTTTTCTGCCTGTGGTTACACATGGCTAAAGGAATAACTACCAAACCCTAAACACACACACACACACACACACACACACACAGACACACACACTTGCACACATCCTGGTGATGATCATGTTCAAGATGTTTTAAATTATGTGTCCAAGTGCCAAGTTCATTGTCAGAACAGCAGGACGGGCCATAATGATGCAAGGAAGGAATATTTCTTGTTTAGGAGCTTACTCATTGATGGATGACATCCTGCCACTGAGAACAGTCCTGGATTGTTTATTAAATTTAAAATGAAATATGCATATAACCTTCTACTTTGAACTTTGTGAATTAAAGCTTTAATGTGCTTTTCTATCCAGAGATAATATCGGTCATGTTAGTGCATTAAAAATTATTAATAATGAAGGCTAGTTTTTCCGTTTCTTTTATGAAAATGGCCGTGAAGGGACAGAAATATGACCGAAGCTTCAGTCTGTTTCACTTTGTCTCTTCTGGTTCCAAGTTCGTGCTTCTATTCTTTCAATCAGGAGTGTTTAAAATGTTGACTTGCATCAAAATGTACACAGCAGACATTTCCTCCAGCCCTAGAAATGTTTACTCTCATGACTAAAACGTGAACCTCTGGGTGTTGCATCAAGGTATCGGCTGCAGACGGTGAAGTCTCTGGCTGGAGTGAGCCTCATGCTGAGGCTGCTGTGGGCCTGCCTGAGATGGGACGACATGGCCGTGAAACCATCGGCTGCTGTCGGCACCACACGTACAGGTAGACCCTCCTATCCATCCAAATCATCAAATACATGCGTCATTTATTTTCCTGTAAAGCTCAGATAGATGCTCTTAAAGAAGTGGCAGCTACAGCTTTGATCGTGCTGAAGTTTGGGTATTGAGGGTGGTTTTAATTCTAGTTTTTGTTCTAAATGTTACTACTTTGAATCTTTTAAGTTTCTTTATAAGCTGTTTTTTAAATCGTATTTATTTAATTACCTGCACTGGTTGCATTTTTATTTACATTTTAATGCAAATTGTGGAAAATTGATGCAGCTGCTGAGATCTGCTCCAACACGGCGATCAAAAACTTGCACAAAATTGTCACTTTAAATTGCGTCTTTCTATATTTATTTATCCTCTAAATGGGCTGCAAAAGAAAATATTCGGTTTGAGTCACATTTGGGTATCAGTGTTTTTATGTTGGAGTGCATTTCCTCCATCTTCTCGGGCTTTCCTCCTCATCACCGTACCGACCCAGCCCTATCCCCACTCATTGCTACAGAGACGTCAGAAACCGAAATCACCACCACCGAGATCATAAAGCGCCGGGATGTGGGACCTTACGGCATTCGCTCAGAGTACTGCATCCGCAAAATCATCTGCCCGCTTGGAGTGCCTGAGACTCCAAAAGGTAAAAATGCACCTTTTTTGACTTGTACAATCCCCTTCAGATATGTTTAAGGGTGTATACAAACAGAATCTGCTTGGAATCAATATTTTTGCAGTGTTGTTTTTCCTTATCGAAGTCAGAAAAATGGTTAGAAGTTGGCCACTTTGACAAAATCATGATGTAAACTGCGGAAACTCAATGAATTCATTCATCTGTTTCTGTATCTATCACATTTTTTTGTAGTGTTAAAAGTATTGAATCATGAATCTATTTTTCATGATTGAAATGTCTACCTGAAACACACACACACACGTCTTTTTCACAAACATTCCAAATTTGTGTCACTGATTCATCCACCTGTCCAACATCCCAGAAACCCACACCCCTCAGAGGAAGGGTCTGCGCTCCAGCGCTTTGCGCCCCAAGAAGCCTGAACCCGCCAAGCAGACTGGTCCAGTGGTGATTGAGACCTGGGTGGCTGAAGAGGAACTGGACCTCTGGGAAATTAGAGCCTTCTCAGAAAGGTCAGAGGCTTTAAGGTCACATGGACCGCACAGTTTGTAAACATGTCATACCGGAGAGTCGGGTTTTAATCAGGGAGGCGATCTACTGTCTTCGTAGGTGTGTCCAAATATTCTCGTTTGGCCTTGTCCTGCCAAACTTGTGTGAAACAAAATGGAGGCTGTGAAAAAGCTGTTTTAAACTGATGCTTGACCTATTTTCTAGTGTTTACCTTTCATCACCCCAATCATCATACCCACTTAATAACTTGTAAATCATGCATTTGAATGACTGGAATGAAACTTTTTTTCCCCAAAAAAATATTCTGCCTTTTAAAGTGCTGTTTATCTCAAATTTTAAAAGTCTTAAAGTTGTTCTTTGTTTTTTAGGGTGGAGAAAGAGAAAGCTCAGGCAGCAGAGCAGGCCAAGGTGAGTTCACATATGTGTTCATTCTTCTGTAATCATTTAAGTGAGCCTTTTCTTTTTATCACTTGTTAAAGTAAGGCTTACATTTTTGTGGGAGTAAATATTGTGGCGTAGCAGTGGGGATTTTCTCAATCATTGGGTAATTTAATCTTAGGTCCAAGACAACAGATGACACATTAATTACTACTAGAGATATTTTAATAAGTAAACACATTGATGATAAAGACAGCTGATAAATGTGTTTGTTTTGTTTGATACCAATTCCGTAACTGATAATATTACCCATTCATTCGTAATAACATGCTTCATTCACCGTCTCAGAAACGTCTCGAGCAGAAACCAGGCTCCATCGCAGCCACGCCAGCAGGGACTCCTGCAATTCCTGCCGTCACGCCCAAAGTCATCGTGGGTTCGCTGTCGGGCCAGGGCACCCCCAGCACCAAGGTGGTACTGTCCACCAAGATGGGCACCCCCGTCACATTCCAGCAGAACAAGAACTTCCAGCAGTCATTTGCCACCTGGGTCAAGCAGGGTCAAAGCACGCAAGGTACATTACAGAGCGAGTATTTGGAGCAGCGGGATGAGACAGTGGATCTTTGTTTTAACCTAAATTAAGGAACGGATAATGTCAGAACAAATTCTGATAAAGCGTCTTTTTCATTCGTATGACTGGGTTTATCAGAATCACTGAGAGAGTTTAGAGTAGTAACTGTTCTTTTATTTTGTTTGTTTGCTTCACCAGGAGCGGGCACGGAGACCACCGTGGCCACATCTGGCGGGCACACTTTCCAGATTACAGGAACTTCAGCCTGCGGAAAGGTTGTGACCACCAAGCTGCCGCTACCCGCCAACAGCAAGATCGTCACGGTCAACGTGCCAACTTCACAAGGAGGTACGGCTGGTTTTTAATAAGTCACACCTCAGAGGTAGGCGGAGGGCAGAAGTTACATTTAAACAGTGTAGACGTTTCTTCTTTCGCTCCACAACCCTGTCAGGATGCATGCATGTTTGTTTTCATTGCTTCACCTCAAACCCGCACCTGAGACATTTAAGATGTGTCGGAGGAGCCTAATTAGATCTGGCTCATTAATTGGATGCCATTGTAAGCAGTTTCATATGCCAACCACATGCACGGCGCTTTAGGAGGACTGAACTCGCCTTCATTCGCTGTGGATGTTGTTTACAGCGAATGAACTACTGCAGGCTCAAATATTTGGAATTCGGCACAAATGAGACTTTCCTTTTGTCCTTGATGGCCGCTGTCGGTGAGCCAAGTGGATATTTTTTCTGTTTTAAAACCGCACAGCTTACAAAAAAACTGTAGCGTTACAGAGATGTTTTCTATTAAACACACTCCATCCACCCTTTCGTTTCAGAATCAGTCACACAGCTGTCACAGTTTTACCATGGTCCTAATAAAGCCATGAGTTCCATTCTTGAAATCTTCTGCACTTGGTTGGTTTAGATGTCAGATTTATGTTATCGGTTTGCCCTGAAACATTGTGCTTCGTCTAAATGAAAGAATGGCAAGAATTAAAATGAAATCCCCATTGCCAGTATTTGTTTTACGACAGTGGTTTAGTCGTGTAATGTGAAAGGATTCGCTTGTAGTGATGAACTTACAGAGACATTATCACCTACTCCAGTTTCCCTAAGCTGCGCAGAGCTTTATAGCTCGGTTTCACTGTCACCACTTGTTTTTGGCTGCAAGCAGGCAGCTGTTTTCAGTGATAAAATAAAAGCCAACATTGGACTTTCAGACAGAAACACAACTCCAAATTGACGCTAATGTTGTGCTGCTGGATGCAAACGCACTCAACTGCATCAGCTTAAGTGATTATGTGTCGGTTTTGCGTTTATAGCTTGTTGATGCAGGTTTAGAGGGAATTAAAGGTAGTGTGTAATTATCTTTTATATACTAAACACAACTTAGAATAGATCAAATGTACGCAGCGTTTTATAGCCCAATATTTGCCCAGTGATGACTCTGTTTGCGATGCATGAGCTCATATAAAAGCCACGACAGGAGCACAGAGGATGCGGACGAGAGACAGACAGATAAATGAACGCGTGTGTGGAAAATGTTAAGTTGACCTTAGTAAATATAATGAACTTTAGTCATTGGTTTGTCCTGTAAGCAAAACTTTTTGTTCCATCTGGTTCCAGTTGCCACCAAATGTATAAAACGCTTCAGCATCAGCCCATCGCTCCCCGTGTTTTGTGCGACTGGTCTGCAGCAAATCCCATTGTGGTGCCCGCCGTGTGCCAACCTCATGAGTCAGCAGCTCAGTTTGGTGTGGCGCACCGTGTCTGGTTGTGTCCCGTCGGCATGGAAATCTAATAGGAAGCTGTTATTTTGGTTGGATGGTTTTAGGGATGGTAGACTTGTGTAGTCTGAGGTTCACAATCCAGACTGCGGATTCAAAATTGTACTATCTTAAGTGCTTTTCAACTTCTTAAAAAAAAATGTCAATATTGACGCCGCGGACGGTGGGTGACGGTTTGTTCTGAGCACCACCAGGCCCGTCTGTGGTCCTCTCAAATTGTCGGATGATGGATGTTGCTCAGCGGCCTGTCATGTCGACACGCTTCATTAAAGCTGCTGACAGCTCTCGTGCGGCTCATATTCCGTATTCTCAAGATCTGTTGGGTGACTACGTGCTGCGTGCTGTTGATGTTTTTTTGAAACTGAAATGCGCGCTTTCGAGATGAAAATTTGCTTCGGCGAACAGAATAAGATACGAAAAGATTATGTGGTAGTTAAGCAACTTTCACGACTGTATCTGTGTCTTTTCCATTTGATTCTGTCAAGTTTGTCATAACTGTGAAGAAGAAATCCTCATCGTCAAACAAGATGATGAAAATGATGACTATAAAAATACAGTAAACGTATATTTCCTTGCTTCAATAAAACACTGCAGCCACCAGATGAAAAGAATGATATTCACAGAGGCTTACAAAGAAAGTGATTTTTCTTACGTTTGAAGTCACCATGAAGGAGAAACTAAGTTCAGGTGGAGTGTAACCATTTAATGGACATGTGTATTTATCCAGCATGACTGTTGGGTGCCCTGTTTGTTTTGGAAGGGCTTAAGGAAGTTAGGCAGGAAAACAAGTTTACCCTGAGGTCTGCTTCCCAGACAGGTAGCCCTCTATAGTAGGATTCCATTTTTCTTTTTTTCCCTCCGTCTTTTTGAATAAACGCGTACCTCTCCACTCTCCGGAGTCCCAACTCCTCGACCTCTCCAAACAGCCAGTCCATAGAGAAGCATGTTTGATGTGTGTGAGCAGAGCAGCGACTCCCCAGTCTTACGACCGGGCTTAACGTCCCTGTTTGAAGAGGGAAACCCTTGATGTATAGGTTTACCTGCTCGGTTGCGGTCGAGAAACCGCAGCAAGAATTCAAGAGAGGAAAAAGGAGCCACACTCTCATGGTTTTCCATTTCTGCCATCAGCTTCACGTGAGCTCATGAAGGCCGAGGGCCCGGCGAACAAATGTGAAACGCTCCCTTTGTCGGATTAGAGTTAAGAAGTAGGATGTGAATTCATGTATAATTTATGAGGGGGTTCAGGTATGTTGGGGGAAACCCAACTAAGCTTTCAGGTAGCCTTTGAAGATTTTGTTTACCTGCTCGACTAATATTTACAAGTGCTGCGATCAAAAGCTGCTTCTGCAGCAAAAAGAGAAGCCCACAAATAATGAATCGAGTTGTGTTAATGCACGACTTCTGTACAACTGCTTACTTGTAGCAAACATGCATGGCGTCAGTGATTGTATTCGGGGTGTTTGAGAACTTTAAATCCAACAATCCAACAAGCCAACAAGCGATCCTACGTAATCTAAGTGTTGCATTTCGTTATTCTCCAAACCTTCCTTGTTGCATTTTACCACACATTTGTGCATATTTCTCTTGTCCAATGCTTACACTGACTTTATTAATCCCCAGAGGGAAATTCAGTTGTTGCAGCAGCATGAATGTTCAACAGAGGGGGTAAACAAAAGCAAAAAGACAACACAGAATATTAGAGTAGGGTATAAAATGAAGGTAAAATAAAATAAGATGGGGCAGTGGTTAGCACCGTTGCCTCACAGCAAGAAGGTCGCTGGTTCGCATCCCGGTGAGGACACCCGGGATCTTTCTGCGTGGAGTTTGCATGTTCTCCCCGTGCAGCGTGGGTTCTCTCCAGGTCCTCCGGCTTCCTCCCACACAGTCTAAAAACATGTCGAGGTTAATTGGTGATTCTAAATTGTCCGTAGGTGGGAATGTGAGTGTGCTATAATATGGAAAGAAAAGTCAGTAACATTTACAAGAATATAGGAGGGAGATACAGAAATGTGCAAATGATAATGTGCTTAGATGTGCAAATGACATAAATAGGTGCAGATAAGTTGAGTGGCGTTAGAATGTAGAGTGTCCGGTATGCTCTTCTTGATTCAGTTTTGATTTGATTGTTTCGGAAAATGTCACCACAGATGTGTGTTTCCAGATACAAATATATCTGTGTCCATGTGGTGAAAAGATCAGAAATGGAAGGTTAATTCTAATTGAAGAAAGAAGGATCTAGTACCAGTTTTTCTGAGTTTCACCTACAACTTAATCCTGACAGATTTTTCGGACTGATATGCTACTTGTGTAAATGTCCCTCTCCTCTCTCCACTCATCCTTCATACTCTGCTATCTTCTTCCTACTTCCCTCTGCAGGTGTGGTTCAGCAGAAAGTGTTGGGTATCATCCCATCCAGTACAGCAGGCGGTGCCCAAACCTACACCACATTCCAGCCCCGCACCACCACGCTCAACATCAGGCCCAACACACCAGGCTCCCAACAGCAGGTACAAGTGTCATCTTTTTTTATTTTTTTCTGTAATTCTTTCAATTCTGTTGTTTTTTTTTTGGATTGTTTTACATTTTCTACCGTGTTTGCACAGCTGGGAACATCACTTTTGTTTTCTACTATAGTATGTGGAGTTTTCTGTATTAGATTCTGTATTTAGACATCAAAGAGGAGCAGTGAGTGTGTGGGCTATAATGAAACTGTGCTGAACTGTTCTTAGCTTTTATATCAACACCAGACGTGCTCCTACTGTAGGTAACCCAACCTGGATTTTTTTTTTGGCCTCTGACTATGAAAAAGTAGCTGCTGGCTTTAAAATAGTTTCTTACTAATGCATTTATGATAATATCTCTCAGGTTCTGGCAGGTGGTGGTCAGATCCGTCCAGGAATGACAGTGATTCGAACCCCAATCCAGCAGACAGGAGCGATGGGAAAGACGATACTCCGAACACCCCTCGTGGTCCAGCAAGGTAATGGACTCTTCATACTTTTCAGCCAAACGAAGACCAGCTTACCCTCCAAGAATAAATGCATACTGACAGCAAGTTTGGCCGCAAACTAAACTGTTTCAGTACCTGTCTGCGTGGTATGTTTCTGTATGAGCGTCTCTCACTCAACTACTGACACCCCGACCACCGGTTCAGTGGAATCTTGAGCTCCCGTGACGACATGTGTGTTGCCTGCTTGCTAAATTTGTCACATTGTTCTCTTCCAGGTCAGGGTGGGCAGCAGGTAGTGACACAGATCATTCGCGGCCAGGCAGTTTCCACGGCAGTGTCTGCTGCCAGCCCGGTCGCCACAGTCACCGGTCAGGGAGTGGCTAGCCCCAACGCAGCTGGACAGGCAGCTGGCCAAACACCACCCGGCACCCCACGGGCTCAGGGGCAGGGCCAGGTTAAACTCACCCTGGCACAGCTCACCCAACTCACACAGGTTTGTGAGGCAGAAACTCCAGGATGTCCTGTGTTACCTCGTGTGCAGCTCCAGAAAGGAACAGTCTCCAAATGGCAATGTCTTTAGCAGATAAATTTGGGGGGGAAAAAAGCACCAGTGTGGCCTGTAAATGAGCGTAACTGGCAGCCTCAGTTCCATACAGCTCTCATTATGGGTCTGTAGATACTCGTATGTAGACATGGGTTTCTATTTACATATTGGGTTTTACAACAGGGAGAAGGAAAAACATTTTCGGATGGTAAAATATTCAAAATTACTATTTAATCATGCTAAATAAGTGCTATTAGGAAGCTGCTGTGTTTCGCTGTGAGTTCACAGAGTTCAACGGAAAGAATGTGCTTCTTGTGGTTTCATCGGGCCTTTCACAAGTCAAGTTTATTTGTGTAGCTCAGTATAAAATCTAATTATCTAATGGGCTTTAAAACTCAAAAACCAGCAAAGATGAGCAAGAAAATGCCATCATGAAAATGTCACATTTAAAACATAGCAGATACTGGGTGTATAAATGTTCTGATCTGTGGGAGAAGTTCTACTCAAAGCACAAAATGCAACTAAGAAGAGATTTCTTGATCGTCCAGTGGCATTTGGGATATTTTCACGATGGCATTCTCTGGTTTATCTCTGAACCATCGTTGAGTCCAACCGAAGATCAAAACTCAGTTCTCAGATTGCCTTTTGGTACAAAAATAGCCAACATATCCCAAAATATAGAAACTATTTTACAAAAAAAAAAAAAAAAACATATGTTGCAAATTCTTCGAAGTCCATACAGAAGTTTGTGGCACTGTTTCCAAACCATTTAGAGTCATTTCATCTGGAGCTTTTCAGGGTTTAAGTGCAGAAGGTTTTGAATGTTATTTGTTTTGTTCACACAGCGTTAGCAAAGTTGGTTTGACAAATTCCACCAACTTGTGAAAAGATTTAAGATTTTGTGGGGGGAAAAAGGGATTACAATCCTTTAGATAATGAGATACAATCAAAATGATTCACTACAGGCAATTTATTTTGGATTAGACTGAACTGTAAAATGTGATTTCATGCCTTTTTTTCTTCCTGCTCTGCCTCCCACAGAAGCAGCAGGCTGGGTCGGCGGTGGATCGACAGGCTGGAGTTGGTGGGACGCAGCAGGCGCTGACGGTGATGGTTCAGGGACAGGGTCAGACCACCGGCCAGCTGCAGGTCATACCTCATGGGGTCACCGTCATTCCAGGACCCGGACAGCAGCTCATGCAGGCGGCGCTGCCCAACGGCCAGGTGCAGCGCTTCCTCTTCACCCCGTTAGCCTCAGCTGCCACGCCCACGTCAAGCACAGGTATGACAAGAAGCAAACATGGAGGACTCCAGAGTTATGCAGATTAGGGCTTTTTATCCAGCTGCCCACCAAGTTTGAAGGGATAGAAAATAAATGTTAGAATCAAGTTCAAAGTGAATCTTGTGTTTCGGCAGAATTAGTTTCAGCTGCTTTAAAAGAAGTCATCCACAGAATGTACTCACAGAATGAGATTGATGTGTTTTTAGGGCATCATCTAGCAAGTTTCTCAACTCTATTCCATCTGCTGCATTTTTATTTAGAAGATTATAAAATTGACATTCCTTTAGGTTGAACTTCTTTCCAGGTGTTGCTATGTATGAGGATCAGTCATGCTTTAAGACATTCGCTCGATGATCTCTAAACCTCTCTCTCTGCTTACTCCAGCCTCCACGGTTCCCAGTCAGCCCAGCTCCACCTCCACCAAAACCCCAGCTCAGCCGGCACAGCAGGCCGCTGCCCCCATCCAGGCGGGGGCGGCCCCGCTACCTACCAGCACCCCGCCCTCGGCCACCCCTCAGGGCCAGCTACCGCCTCAGACACAGGCCCACATGCCCATCCAGTCTCCCACCTCGCTGCAGGTCAAAACAAAGGGAGGAAACACCCAGTTGCAGCTGCAGCAGACGCCTCAGCTCATCAGTGTGTCTGGACTGCAGCAGCAGGTACAGGTATGATTAGAGGACCGCAGTGACTGCTGCAGAAAAGTTGAACCTCAGTCACTCCTCTCTGCTTAAATTTGCTTGTAGTCAAACACATTTAAAGTTGCTCAGGTGGAACTCAGTCAATCATTTCTGGTCCAAGCAGCTTATTTGTCACCATTTTTCAGTACATATTGTCCACCTTGACGTGCCGCTGACAGTGTGATTTAAACATGTAAATAAAAGTTTTATATGAGGGCATAAACAGAACTGTGTGCGTGTGTGTTAAATTTATGATTTTTCTTCATGGCTACAGGTGTTGGCCCAGCTGCAGACCCAGCAGGGTGGAGGCTCTCTGCCACAGCACATCAAACTGCAGCTCCCCATCCAGATCCAACAGAGCGGGACCGCCTCAGCTCAGGGAGGACAGGTATCACATCCAGCTCACTGTGCGAGAGAGTAACTTATACTGCCTTAATAGGACCATTCGAAGGAGTTTGTGTAGAAAGTAGAAAAATGAGAAATGTTTTTGATTTTATGCTCCAGCTGCCTGTAGCGTAGCATATCTGATTAACAAAATTTGTCGCACAAATATTTTGATGACACCGAATGTGTCATCCAACTCCTAACATGACTGAGCATTAAGATGTGAAATCTCAGCCCGTCTTAGTCCTCACATTAAACAGTTGATTCTTTAACTGGCAGCTTTTGTATTTGCCAAACAAAAACCCCAATCCTCCCTCAGAGCAATTTTCACCAAAACCAAGAATCCTGTCTTGTTAAATTGAAATTACACTACATAACAGCTCCATTTAAAGCCCAAATTGATTACCACACTATGCTCTCTGCACAGATTGGAAACGTGGTTACCATCCAGGCAGCGTCGGTGCAGGAGCAGCTGCAGCGGATCCAGCAGCTCCGAGAGCAGCAGCAGCAGAAGAAGAGGCAAGCTGCAGAAGCAAAGAGAGAGCTGGCTCTCAGCTCAGCCAGCCAGAGCGACATCATTCAGAAACAGGTGTGTATGCGCACAGGAAGTCATCATCTCTGTCCAAAACTCTCCGTCTCCCAGCCATCAGTACATAAACAGTCACCATCCTCCAACCCTCCACTGAGACTCGGTTTATTTTTACAGCTCGGCCCTTGTCTCTGTTTATTAGGTTTAATGCTGCCAGTACTACTGTGTGTGTGTGTGTTTATCTGTCTCAGTTTATTTTACAATCTGTACTCGCTGGTCACACTTAATCATAATACTTCTCTAGAGATACTTGTAGTACACAATAAAAGCTCACATGGATAACTGTTTTAGCCAATGTTTGCAATGTTTTATATGAAAATAGTGTTTTTAGCTCCCGTAAAACCATCTCCTCTCAAACTGTGAGGTACTTTTTTGTAGTTAAACTCACTGTTTCTACTGACATCTTCACATTTTTCAGGTGGTCATGAAACAAAACGCTGTGATCGAGCACCTGAAGCAGAAGAAGACCATGACGCCTGCAGAGAGAGAGGAGAATCAAAGGTTTGTGTCTGGAATTTGTTGCTGTGTGGGAAGATGTACGGATGTTCAGTTTGATGCCAAAAGTGTCATTTTGGAAAAGTTTTGTATTGAAATTGTGCGAGACTTTGTTTACCGGTCAGACTCTGCACTCTGACGGAGCACAGAAATGATGTTTCATCCCTCTGCAGGACAGTCTCCTTAAACTGATGCCTTCCTGTGTCTGTGTTCTTGTCATGTGGAACTGTAGCGTCATCACCCAATCAGTCTGCGCACTATCCTCTCCTCTCTCCCTTTGACTTTTGTCTAACACCATGTTGGGAGGTACTGCACAGCATGGGAACCTTTGGGTGTGGAACCACCTACAGCTGCATGTCCGCACTGTGACCCGACAAGCGGCAACACAAAGACAAATCCGTTTATAAATGACTGGAGTTGTACAATGAAAACACACAAGGTTTTCCCAACCCTTCCACTCATTTGTAGGAGTGTAGCAACGTTAAAATGACAGAAAAATAATGTTAGACTATCATTCAGTGACAAATACTACTGTTATTATAGCAGCAACATTTTAACAGAAGTCATTCAGTAGTTTTTATTTAGTCTTTTTTTTCCCCCCATATTTTGAAAAGACTTGTTCACCTTCTGATGAGAAAAAAAGAAAAAAAGTGCTGTTTTACTCTGCAGGCTAAATTAGGAGCACTACTATTCTACAAACCAAAATGAAACCTTTGAAATAATAACAGAAGTAATGCGATGTTTAGAAAGACTCTCCTCCTTCCTTCCTGTGTTACACGCTGCAGATAGATTACACTCTGACATATAGCTGACCCTGACAACCGTGTGTTTATGTCCACAGACGGTGTGTCAACACTGTACCCATTCACACAGACCTGAAATACCAAACCCAGACTACTGTGACATCACTGCAGCAGCTCTGTGTGTTGTCTGTCTTGGCTTATTTTTCATCCCTTTTTTCCATTTTCTTATGTCACCCTTTTCTGTCCCTTTTCCTTCAAAACACGACTCTGTTGGTAATAACGCGGAACGTTGTCATCAGCGTGTTTTATTTGCGTCCACCGCTTTCAACGCTACGTTTGCAGCGTGTTCCTCCGTGTGCGCGCCGGAGCTCTGGCCGATCTTCGACCTCGGCAGCCACGGATGCGTTTGTGTGTTACTCACACAAACATGCGCTGAACGAGGCAACAGCTTTCGATCTTAGTTGTGAATGTTAGCGAACACAAGTGAACATACTGGGAGCGTAGAGCCGTAAATTATCTCGATTTATTGTCAAAGACTGACATCTGATTTTGAGGAATGGTGGCGACAGTGAGTGGGATTCTTTCTGAGTATCTCAGATCAAATCCACTGTGTGCCACCACACAGGCATTTTAATTTGCTCAAATATGCATATATGACCTTTGTTTCTTCCTCATCCGTTGTTTATGGTTTCCCAGTCACTCTATATCTCCCCATCTCTCAGTATACTTCTCTCCCAGTCTTCCAACTCTCAGATCCACTCTCTTTCCACTGAAGCAGAGTTCTTTATAAATAAACACTTGAAAACCAAATAGTCCTGTAACATCTGTAACACATGTGTCCAGGTAGGGATGATGTCACCGTTGCAGCCAGTTTTAGGAAGTAGCCACAGTCGGCTTGGGATTTTTAAAGCGTGTTGTGTTTAAAGGTGAAAAACACATGAATGTACATATAGTATAAATAAAACAGCTGCCTGCTATGTAAAGACATAGTGGAGTAATGTAGTCCTTAGCAAAGGAAAAAATCACCTCCTCTGTGTTGTAATTGAGGCCTCTGCTCAATGTTTGCCAATCGATCTGGCTGAATGTTGGCGTATATTAGTGCATGTGAGTTGAAACTTGTGGCCCTTTCGCTTTGTTTGATCTCACACATTTCATTGGAAAAGTAAAAGTGCAGTCCAGTGTTCAGCTGCTGCCTCCAAAAAATAAAGAATATATTTTATTGATGTTATTTAGCTAATGTATGTGTTTCATTTGAGCTCAGTGTTAGAGCCTCTATTGCTGTTTTTAGGTATGAAACTGTCCACACGTTTGTTTTTTAGAGTTTAAAATCGACCATTTCTAGAAGAAACTTCTGCCAGTTGTTGGAGGAAACTAAACAAATTAATTTTCTAATGTTCTAATGTTTTCTCTCTGCATTTTATTTTTATTTCTGTACTTCATAGCTGAGGAAGGAAAGACTTAGACCCAGATAGGGATGGGATACAAGTTCAGAACCAGAGTCAAACCCAGGACTTTAAAGTTCCGTAACTTGCACAACGGAGCCACCAGAATTCCTCAAGGGCTCGCGTTGAGAGAAATGCTCTCATTGTTCATTGACACGGACCGACATTTCTTACACACGGAAAGCTCGATTTTAATGTTTTGAAGTAGCCAATAACCAAGCAGGTTGTACTTTATGAAACATTGAAGCATTGTTTGGATTAATACTCCGTTCCAGCCCACTGGTGTGTCAGAGGGATACATTTCTTCCTCTGTGACTATGACTGCACCGACTTTCTGAATTCTAGCTTCAGATATGTGATAATCCTTCCCCTCCCAGTCCTTTTATCCTTCTCTTCTCTCTCAGCAGGAGTATTATGTGTATTTAATGTCTTAAAAAATATCCTGAAATGAGCCACAGCGCTTTTTCACATGGGCCTTCATTAAATTCAGCAGGACTATATTTGGTTCTGTTGGTGACTGTACGTTTTCCTGCTACATTCACAGAGCGCTTCATCGTCAATATGCAGCATTCTTCTGTTGTGTATACATGTGATCTGCTGTAACTTGTGAAAATATGACTGTGATTAATTCTTCTCTCTCTCTACTACTCTCTTCTGTCCCCGTCTGTTTAGGATGATTGTATGCAACCAGGTGATGAAGTTCATCCTCGACCGGATAGACAAAGATGAGAGACAGGCAGCCAAGAGAAAGAAGAAGGAAGAGGTGGTGGAGGCAAAGAGGAGGTTGGCCAACGCCAGTAAGCTCTCCTCGCTTCTTTACCGACACAAGGAAAGCCTCAAGATGGAGATTCTTAAGAAGAGGGCGCTTCTCGACAAGGAGCTGCAGTTAGAGGCGCAGGTATACGGGAAGGGTGGAACATATAATGTATAGTATAAAAAAAAATGGCTAAAGCTTTAAACAGTCTCATGAAGTTTAGTAGATAATTATAAAGAAATTGGGTACAAAATGGTACCAGAAACCCCTCCATCCCATTAAATCATTATTTTGGCATGCCATTCCTCAGGAGGAGCTAAAGAGGGACCTGTTGCGGATGCGGAGGGAGAAGGAAAGGGCTCAGGCCGCCGCCCAGCAGGCAGCTCAGGCCGCCGCTGCCGCCGCCGCCGCCGCAGCCCACAACCAGCAGCAGCAGAACCTGGCACACATCGCCTCTCAGCACCACCTCACCACGGCTGTCACCTCCTCACACAAGAGGAAACGGGAGGAGGAGAGGGATCTGGCAACGTCGGCCAAGTCCAAGAAAAAGAAAATGATCTCCACGACGAGCACGAAGGAGAGCAAGAAGGACACCAAGCTCTACTGCATTTGCAAGACGCCCTACGATGAGACCAAGTATGACGATGCTTTGTTGGATACAACCGTGAAAACATTAGTGACGACAGTAGGCACAGCAAAACACTGATGTAATTCACAAGGTTAAAACAAATATACACCAGCGAATGGGCCTAAATGAATGCAAGAACTTTTCTTGAAACCTTATGGGGGCTTTTTAGTGTATTAACTAAGTTGACTAATGCGGTTCTTTGTATTCTCTAAAGGGACATTTCCACACCTTAGTCCACATTGAAACATACAGTTGCCAGAAGTCAAAAAACACCATCTGATATCTCTCTAAAGCCAATTGTAACTATTATTTTTCTTATTTTTTTCCAACTTTGACAATTTGCAGGGTTTTCACCAGCATCCCTCCTCAGTCAACACAGGAATAATTAAATGAAACCCTTCCTCTAGCACAGAACAGATCTTTCCCTTCCAACCTGAACCATACAGATATTTTAAAAGTCAAAACATTTAGTATATTTTTTAAAATCACTGTTCATTTCTATCCTCTCCAAAGGTTCTATATCGGTTGCGACCTGTGTACCAACTGGTATCACGGAGACTGTGTGGGCATCACAGAGAAGGAGGCCAAGAAAATGGACGACTACATCTGTGTGGAGTGTAAACGGGGCCAAGAAGGCAGCACCGAGGAGCTGTACTGCATCTGTCAGACGCCGTACGACGAGTCCCAGTAAGGAGCTGCAGGAGTTTGTGTTTGTGTGTCTGTCTTGTGTGTGTGCCTTGTGTTTCTGCTTGATAGAAGTTCTGATGTACACAACAAATTAGCACAACAACAACAAATGATGTACAATATCACACCTAATGAGATGTAAAGAAATTAGTGCAAAGTGCTAAAATACAGTATCACTAATTGATGCAGCTCATTCAAAATGTTGGGCTGTTGACATAAAATGATGTTGTATATTTCTATGATAAGGTATTTTACAAGATTGCACCAAAAAAAGTAAAGCAGGGCTACATTCAGAGTTAGCATGAGCATTCCTGTAGCAGAACTGTAACATAGAAATGAAAAATGATGGCATCATTAGCATCCCAGTAAACAAATGTTTCCAGCATCAGTCAACCAAGGTTTTGCTAGAAATACCTGAACCCAGCAGGTTGTGATCAGATATCAAAAAACAAAACTGTATGATTTAAGCTGAAAAGTACCTCAGCTGATCTGCTCTGTATTCATACACCAGTAGCTTGCCAGTTCTACCTGTAGTGAAACCAATTTTAAAGCCTATGGAGTTCACATTTTAGGCTTCTGTTTTGCTGACCAATTGATTGTTTACAGATTAAAGGGAAAGTTGAACTGTCGCCCCCTACAGTGAGGAGATCTGGTGGCTTTGTTATACTGTGAGGAGTGTTTTGCTTGCATGAAGGGGTCCAGTTGTCCTCTGTAAATAAATACAAAGTTGTTCTGTGTGATAACCTTCATCGTACGAGTTTCTATCCTGATGGGTGTCTTCCAGGGCCTTCCTATAACAATACCCCATCCATAGAACACTAGGGATCACTGAATGCTTTGATGAGTATGAAATTGAACATCTATAGAAAAATTTGGACCAACATTTTAGAAAGTGGGCTGCAAGGTGGGTCGATGGTTAGCACTGTCGCCTCGCAGCTAGAAGGTCACCGGTTCACGTCCCGGTTAGGATCTTTCTATGTGTCCCACAGTACGAAAACATGTTGAGGTTAATTGGTGATTTTAAATTGTCCGTAGGTGTGAATGTGAGTGTGTTTGGTTGTCTGTCTTTAGGTCTCTAAGTGTAGCCCTGATAAACTGTCCCCTGAATCAGCTGGGATAGACTCCAGCCCCCCACGACCCTAGTGAGGATTAAGCGGTGTATAGATAATGGATGGATGGTATATGATATGAAGACCCCCATTCACAAGTAAAAGCGAGCGCTTGTTTCAATCTTTCCAGGTTTTACATCGGCTGCGATCGATGTCAGAACTGGTACCACGGTCGCTGCGTGGGGATCCTGCAGAGCGAGGCCAACCACATCGACGAGTACGTGTGTCCGCAGTGCCAGTCGACGGAGGACGCCATGACGGTCTTCACGCCGCTCACCGACAAGGACTACGAAGGCCTGCGAAGAACCCTGCGTTCATTACAGGTGAACAGGCGATCGTGGTCGCAGCACAAACACACACGACGAGAGTGTTGTAGGCCGGTAATCTCAATCTTGGTCCACTTGAATTGATTCACTGACCTGCTCGTGAGAGGTGGCGAGGTGTACTCTCATTTCACGTAAATATGTACACAAACTCATGCAGCAGCAGGTCTGTGGTAGTAGTTTTATCATCAGCGATAGGCGGAACACTAACACAGCTCCACTACGGTGTCAGAGCAGCAAACAAAAGTCCTCTGTGTCCATCTTATCTGATGGGTTGGGCTCCCCCTACTTGGACAGCTGCCTGGCCTCAGCTTTTTTTTTTTTTTTTATTCCTAGCTTCCCTTTCTTTTCTCTTTCTTCTCCTCCTCCTTCCAGCGGTTTATGTATGCGAGAGAAAAGTGGGAAAGAAAGTGAAAGAGAACATCTGTGTTGACCCACCTGCTTTCAGTGTGATTTTCATGGTGCTGTTTGTTTTTCTTCATTGGTTTCAGCTTTCTCAAGTGTCTTGTCTTTATCTTTTTTTTTTTTTTTTTTTTCTCCCCTTCCCTCCTCTCTGCAGGCACATAAAATGGCGTGGCCGTTCCTGGAGCCGGTGGATACGAATGACGCCCCGGATTATTACAGGGTTATCAAGGAACCAATGGGTGAGTTGTAGTAAATGTTAGAACAAGGTTTGTACCTGGAGGATTCCAAGCTGCTGTGTCTCCTGTGTTAACCTTCAAATCCTGTTTAGGTTGACGGATTCATGGAAAGAAGCCTTTTATTTTTCATTGTTGCCTGTGTTTGCACACATATAGGGCATCATTTTTTTCACCTTTTCCGCAGTTTCATGCTCATTAAAATAACGATCAATAAGGAAAATCTTTAAATTATTATCAGTTCTGTATAATTCTTCTCAAATTCTCCTACAAATGTGTTGCTGAGCTTTCTTATTTATCATTATTCATTGACTATTTTTGCATTTTGGAGTGTGGCGTCTCACTGGGCTTTTAGAAATTGGGGTTTAGAAATAGGTGATTTTTTGTTTCCTACTTGGTAACTAACTTTTAAACGGCATCATGCAGAACTGTTGGAACTGTCCAACATCATTTTATGGCGCGTTTTTTTCTAATTTTGTCATGATGACCTACTTTTAATGTTGCCCTGTGCAGCCTTGTTATGGAGAAAAATGTATAAAATAAAATAAAAATTGTGACTTTTGAGTGAGCAGGTACCTAACACTGATTTACTCCGACTGGGATCGGGAGAAATCCCTGTTGGCGAGATAAAATTGCCTCAGTAGTGCTGTTTTTATTTCATAATTGCTTTAGGCTTTGGAAGTAACACCCAGGCTCTATATCTTAAACATTAAAATACAGCCGCCAGGAGGCCAACGGGGAGGAAGCCCTCCAACTCAGATCAAACCGGCCATGTAAATGGGGACTTGCGTCAACAGGGCCTTTTTGAACTTCCATACAAACAAACCGTTAATGAGCTGGACGGTTCTGCCCGGGCTCCCTGTGGAAAGGGACCAGCCCCACACTTAGCTCCTGTTGGCCGGCTCCTGGAAACTCCGGCCCTCCCCTCTCTCCCCTTTCCACCGCAAGAAAAAGACCTTGTTGGTTTACAAAAAAAAAAAAATGAAAAGAGCGTTTTGGCTGGTGGAGCTGCAGCCGTTGGTAGTTTTTGGAGGGTTTCGAGATGAAATCCGATGACAGAGAAGAAGGAGGTCTTTGATATTGACCATGAGGTCTGTTAGCCCCCGGCCAGCTGGGTGGGGGTTAAAGAGGTTAAGAGTCGGATATGTTTGTTTAAAACGCAGCCTTGGGGATGCCGTGCAGAGCGAACCACTGGCAGCGGCAGATGATATGAAGCCTCAGCTGTTGCCAGTGAGCGTCTTTGCTAACTCAATCTTATTTTTCTTTCAGTTTTTAAGTTGTTTTAACTAGGTTAGCAGCACTGAAAGCTCCTTTTTTTTTTTTAAATGGTGGCCTAGAAATGGAAGCACTGATGCTCTTTGGCTTTTCAAAGGCTCCATCAATTTTGGGTGGATTTCTTCTTTTTTTTTTCTCACAGAAATGACACTCGGATAATGACGCTCTCCTCAGGAATGATAAATCGGTCACATCTCAGTAACTGATCTGGAAGGCTGAATAGATGGAGGTTAACGCTGGCAGAGGTTTCGGATTTTTGCTGTCACATATAAAGTGATGCACTGTGCTCCCAGGAAACATATTTTAATGTCTGTCAAGCACACACCACATAAGCTGCAATTACTTTGAAGCAGGCACGCTGATTTGTGGAACAAAGTCAATTAGAAAAACCCCGATATTTATCTGCTGCTTCCGCATGATGTCTTTCTCTGGCAGCAGCTCCAGCTTTTTGATACTTTCATACGACACATACGGTCTTTAACCGAGTATATTTTTAAATCCCCTCTTGCTAGACCTTTCCACCATGGAGGAGAGGTTACAGAAACGCGAGTACGTCAAACTGACGGAGTTTGTAGCAGACATGACCAAAATCTTCGACAACTGCCGCTACTACAACCCCAGCGACTCGCCCTTCTACCAGTGTGCCGAGGTTCTGGAGAACTTCTTTGTCCAGAAGCTCAAAGGCTTCAAAGCCAGCAGGTAAGATGGTGATGATGATGAAGATGTGCAGCAGCTGATGAGGATCAGAAAAAAAAAAAAATGGCAGACTAGCAGCTCCTGACAATTGGTAGACAGACAGGAAATAAAAAGTATTTTCTTTCACAGTAAAACACTACTTTATTGACTCCTTCTTGTCTTTGATTTCATGGGTCACCATCTTGGGCTCCTTTTTAACTTTTCAATCATCTACTTCTTTTGGCTCATGTCTCATACAAGCCTGTTTCTGTTTCTGGAACAAGTCCGTAGCAACCTTCCGCAGATTTAAGACTTGAAGATTAATGCATCATGTTTCGTGTCATTCTGAAAACTTGATTTGTTCGGGGTTATTAAAGTAATCTGCGGGTTTGCTGACATTTATCTTTGTTCCATCTTGGTAAAGTTTTCATCTTTCACGCATTCAGGCTTCAGTCAGCTGATTTTTCTACCAGTAACAACAGATCTGCTTCAGCCTTCACCATGTAATGATGGTGCATTTCCTGCCATTATTTAGCATTGCTAGCCAAATGAAAAGCCACAATTCTTCCATTTGACTCTACATGTTTCACCACATAGTTTGGGAAATAACAGACATGGGAACTTGACTGAAACCTGAAGAGTCGGGCCTGATTAGCTTCAAGCTTTGACTTGGAGACTTGCTTGCTTGTGCTTCGTTGAACTCACCTCGCTGCACTGCCCTCGCTACGTCATGTATTCGCTTTGAGTGGATGCACACTGCAAGATGTCAGGGCGGTTTCTGAAAATGCTGTTACTAATATCCTCTTTGATATGGCTCTGCTGTTCTTTAACCCTCTGAACCTCAAGCAGTTTCTGGGTGTGAGGTTTTTTTTTTGCTCCTGTCTCTCATATAAAGTTCTGCACCTCTATGGAAACAGCTCAACTATGGCTAGAAGTAGAAGGAACTCATAAATATCCTCTGTGCCACATAATTGAGTTATAATGCTATAAATCATTAAATACGTATATATATTTTACAAAAACTTGAATTTTCCCAGAGGTGTTACTGATGCTACGTACTATAAATACTTAACTACTTGCATTTTAGACTGTTTTAATACTTGCCAAAATGTCCTTGAATTCTTGTCAAATGACTTTTAGTCTCAGCTGAGTCACACATGGCTGCCTGGTGACCACATATTTTTGTTTTCTACAGAATCCGATGGAGCAAAGGGTTCATTTTTGAGCCTTTTTTAGTGATTTCGATAAAATATCACGACTTTAAGCCTGGGATTGGTTAAGTTTCCCGAGAGAACCACACTTGACAGTTGAGTAAAAAACAAAACAACACCAAGATTGCAGCAGTTATCAGAGACAGACACTGTAACAGAAACATTGGTCAGATTTCTCGGTTTCTGTGTCTGATTATCGGTGCAATCTTGTTTTGTTTTTTTGCGCCCATAGTTTGGGATTCAGAGGGTTAATTTGGTTATTTAGTGAAGAACTAGCTGAACCTTTCACAGTGAGTTTATCTGTAGGTGGTGAGATCTCAGCCTTCTCTTTCCTCAGAATGTGAAACTCCAGTGAGCTACGATGTTTGATTAGTTCAGGAAGTCTTGTGGTTTGCATCCAGCTTCATGTGCCTAAAACGGTGATGTACTTCACCTGCATGTATTGACACCATCCATTCTCTCTCTCTCTCTCTCTGTCTTCACCTCTCTGTGCCTCTCTATCTCCCCCTCTCTCTCTCTCCCTCTCCCTCCCTCTCTCTTGCAGATTGTGATGTCAAACTCCTGGGTGCCGGGGTCACTCTTAAAACAGACAAAACACAATTTGCTATCCTGGATGTTGCTGTTTTTACTTGTTTAAAACAGCGTCAAATAACTTTGTACAAAAAAAAACAAAAGAAGTGCATATATTAAGCCACACATTAGGTGTGATCATTTTTTTTATGTTAAAAACAAAGGAACCGGACAAAAAAAACAAAAAAAGTTTCTACTGTCTAATAATGGCAGCCATGTTGGTAGCACAAAACATTCAAGGGAAAATGTATTTTCTTACACTCTTTCAAAGGATTTTGTTTATGTTTCAGTAGGCAAAATATGAAGTTTTGCTAAGCTCGTCGTCATTCTCTTTCTTGAGATTAAACTTTGAGAAAAGAAAAAAAGCATAAAAAGCTATTGATTTTGATTGTAAAATCAGACTCGCGTAACACACGCATAACTTATCGTTGAATTTGGTAGAACTGTGGGTTTATCGGTCATAACATGCTGCAGCGGAACATTTTTACCTCATTTCTTAGCCGAGAATTTTAAACCAACAAGCATGCACCATTTATTCCTTTCTTTTTATTGGCTGTACCCATGTATAATGTTATTTTCTGTTCATATTATATCTTTTTTTTTTCTGTGAAGGACTATTTTTATGTTCTAAAGGAAATAATGGTAGAAACTGTAAAGATAGATTGGAACAAAATCTAGTTTAGCTTTCCTATTTTAAATATGGTGAGCTACAGTTGAAAATAAAAAGGAATAAAAAAAAAAAAAAAAGTCCTTGTAAATACATTGTTGGGCTGACATCACACCACACATTTCAGTAACATTTCACCAACATGGCTGCTTGGTCTTATGTCAAAGTGTCTGACCCACTGGCATCCAATACATGTTTTTGTATTGTTTGTTTTTGTTTATTTTGTATTTTTTCCCCCTAGTCATATTTTTGTCATATTGTAAAGCTTTTTAATAAAACATAAAAAAAAGAAAACAACAAGATGTTTTCCAACTGTTTTCTTCCTCCTCTCTTTGCCCGTCTCTGTAGGTCACATAACAACAAGCTACAGTCAGCAGCCTCTTAGCTCCCTCCTTAAAAAAAAAAAAGAAAAAAAATACAGGCATCAAAAAGTCAAGCCTTGTGGTTTCCTCTGAATCATTAAGACTCGTGGTCCAAGTCAGGCTGCGTCTCAACCTGAGTCCTCTCTGGAGGAGAACGGGCCTCTCCCAACACTGGTGCCCCACCTCCAACACCTCCATTGCAGTGCTAAGGGGAAAGAAGTGAATTGAAAAGCCCCGATTTTCATCCAAAGTGTGAGTGGGACTTAATGACAGAGAAGTCCCACCTGCAGACCAGGGGCAGCAGCAGCAGCAGCAGACTCTTGTTTGGCAGCCTCTCACATCCCAACCAGCCATTCCTACCAGAGCAGCCCCTCCGCGAGAAGAAAGACGGCAGAAGACGAGTGACACGTTTGGCTGGTTGGATGCTCAGTGACAGACTCCTAAAGTTCATTCTGTAGCTGATTTTCTGTGTATTCTATATAGCAAAGTGTCAGCTTTTTGTTCTTCCCACTCAGAGGTTCTTTACTTTCATCCATTCATGACTCCGACATCTCATTCAAGGTTAGTCCCCGCATCCAGTCACAAGCTAAATATGCAGAATGTGCAGGCTTCAGTTCATTATTGTCAAATTTAACGACTGCATTTTGTTGGTGCTGAAGGAGCGTATGTCAGTACTTGTCCATCAACTGGGGGGAAAAAAAAAGAAGTACCCCCATGAAACCAGTCAGCTCCGGTTTATTGAGCTAGCATTGGATGAACACTCCCCCTAACTCCAACGGACCCAATTATTTTGACCTCATTATTTTGGTTTTACCCTCAGGTGTGCGGCCCGACGTGAAGCATGAATCAGCCTCATAAAACGCACTTCGACTTTAAATGCGTCCGTCAGGGCTGCACAGTTTCGCTGCACATTCCCTTTTCAGAGTAATGCCGAGATGATCCATTTGTAAGAGGAGCTAGATTTCTGAAAAGTAGCTTGATAGCAGCTTCGCCGTCGACAGCTTAGGTAATCCGAGGGGGTTTTCGTTTCGTTCTGAGGCCTGCAGTGCTTTCATGTCAGTTTCCAGAGGGGGAAACACCCAGGATAGGCCATCCCACCCACTGCATCCTGCCCTTCGTTTGACCTTTTTTAAACTTCTGAAGTGCGAGTGAAAAATGTCAAGTAGGTCTTCGCCCCCTTAAACTCGGCTATTTGAAGGAGGTAAAGGATCACAATAGAGGATGGGAGAGTGTTGGGCCTTTAGGGAAGGTGAAACTTGTACAAGGCACCTACAAGTACTGTACCTCCCTCCATATATACTGTACACCGACTCATCAGAGCTCCGTGTCTGTTCCTGTCAGTGGCTGAGTCTGTCTGTAAGTCTCTCCCTTCTTATCTTTCAGCCACTTCTTCCAGCATATTTCACTGAAGTTGACAGGTTGGCTCACATATGTCTCTCAACTCACCCTCCAAGCATGGTTAAGTAATTGGATAATGGACTTTTCCACTCAGCATCAACTCAGTTATGTTGCGGTCTGCGGCAGCATGTCTGGGAGTAAACTTTGAGCGGGGGACTGGGGAGTCTTTGTACCGTTGGGGTTTGTACGAAAATTTTATAGCTGCATTTTTAGCATAACTGGGAGCATTTTTGTAATTTGTGATTATCAGTTTTGTAGGAGGGGTACAGTTATAAGACACAGCTACAGCTGTTTTTAAGTTAAATGTTCAAAACCAGTTTAGAATCCGGCAAACATTTCACTTTTAATCGCAGAGTTTTTACATTTTTGTGTGTAGAAGCAGAGTTGAGAGATAATGTAGCTTCTGTCTTCTTCTCTGTGTTTGTATGTCTTTCACGAAAAGTGTCCGTCACTTTGTAATCTCATGATGATGTGCTTTATCCACTGTTTGTAATCTCTATTGTATATTATTGCTGTCCAAATATGTAGAGATGAAAAATTTTTAGAGCAGTAGAAACTTTTATTTTTCACTATTTGAACCAGCAACTAAGCCCGCCTGTAAATTTTAACTGTATTTTTTCTCTTTAATTGAAGTGAACTCTACATTTAGTTGAAATTGCCCTTTATATTAAAAGTGCTGCATATTGTGAGCATAAAGGTTTTGAACGGGGCAGAGTGACACAGTAACTCTTGTACAGAGTTTTTTCTTTTTTGTAAGAAACCAACCAGTTCAGCATAACTTCTATATGGACATTGCATTTTCTTGTATTATTTATTCATATCAATGAAAAGTTCTCAGTTTTTTGAGTAATGTTGAAGAAACGTAACTGCAGATAAAAAAGTACTCTATGTTTTTAACAGATTGTGGCAACTGAAGAGATTCTCTTTTGTACTTGATAGGACATTTCATCCTAGATAATAAAGTAATGTTTTTGACACCAGTTTTCAAACCGTGTTTTCTGTCATTAGCGCGTGACTTTCAGCTAAAGTTGGGTGGGTGTTGAGCCGCTTTTTAAAGATGTGATGCCATCCACAAGTCCTAAGTCTAAAGTACGAGCTTTGTCTTTGAAAGGCCTTAGAGACCTACTGGTAAGATAAGGCTGCAGTGGATGTTTAATGTAGGCAGCATCTTTTTATATGCTATAGGGACATGTCATTAACAAAGAACTTCCACTTTGAAATTGTAGTGTACTGATTTGACTTCTGGGGTTTTTGTATGACCCAAACCTAAGGAGTCAATTCTGTCAACTTGTAGGGTGAGGCTCTCTGTATCTCTATTCATCTCTAGAATTGGATTCCATTTTAAACACATATGGCTGAATTATATCAGTATTACAATTTGCTATTTTTCTAGCAAAGGGTTGTGGTCGTAGTCATAGTGACACCTAGATTTCAATGGAAAGATTTGACAGTACAGCAAACACAAAGAGCCCTTAAATTTCCCTTGTGATGTTCCAAAAACACATGCTTACATGAAACAATATCTGGCATCCATCTGTTGTCTAGAGTTTAGGCATTTTACAAAGCTTGAGTGAGATGTATAATTAAGTATCGTCTGCATAGCGGCGATCGGCAATACCTGTCACTTATAATTCTGTGGTTCAGCGGTGACTATGCTGACTGCAACAAGCTTGATCTAAGTTAAGAACCTTCGCTGAACCTCTTTCTCCCTTCTCCTGCATTTTTACCAAAGACTGTTTTTAAAGATGAATGTACCCCTCATAACGTCACCCATAGGAGTGGTTTTGGAATCCAGTTTGTGGCTCTGGCCGTCTTGGCAGTGAGTGCCAGACTCCTCCTAAATCTGATCTATTCAAAACTGAGCAATGAGATAGAGTGTGACTGGAGCTGAGTTGGGCAATGCAATGTTTGGGCCGCTAACCTTCCTGTGACAGTACCCACTTTCTACTCAAAGTGGCCACGCCCTAAATTATGCACATCTTCAAGCCTTTATACTACAGGTGAGTTATATAATGACTGACACACTGTACACTTGTCGTGAATTAGGAAATAAGCTACAGTGATCAAAACTGGCTTTTGTACCAGGCTGTAAACACTTTTATTCCTGCTGTAATGGTTAGCATTTCAACATGGGGATCTACGTGGATTGAGCAGTCCTTGCAACTGCCATTTTTGGCACATTATGTTAGCTTCATCTTTCAGCTTTGGATGTTGCTGCTTGATCACTACTGATGACTGTAATGAAAAATCCCAGATACACCAAACTTACCTATTACTTAATTTATCCGCCAAAAAGGAGATGCAAATACAAAACAAACAGAATAGGACCCAAAACAGAGGTTTCAGCCACCACAATACATTTTAGATTACTTCTTGCTTACCTATTATTTAGAAATTGCTAAATCACATCACTTTTATTGTATTTTGTGCATCCTTCAAATTTCCCTCTGCTTATCCAGGGTCTGGTCACTTTGGCAGCAGGCCATTCCAGGCATTCCTCTCCCCAGTAACATTTTCCAGTCTCTCCTTGAGGGTTTCCAAGGCCAAATGAGATATGTAATTCCTTCAGACAGTTCTGGGTAGACTCTGGGTCTCTTCCCAGTTGTCAATGCTTAGGAAACCTACAAAGAAAGGTGCCCTGGAGGCACCCTAATCTGATGACCAAACCACCCCAACTGGCTCCTTTCAATCCAAATGAGCAACAACTTTACTCCAAGTTCCAATGTCCGAGCTCCTCACCCTATCTCTAAGGCTGAGCCCAGCCACCCTGCAGGTGAAACCCATCTCAGCTGCTTGTATCCACAATCTTGTGCTTTTTGACCATAGCTGAATGTTTTAAGGTAGATTGACTGGTAAATCAAGAATTCACCTTCCAACTCAACTCTTTCTTCAGCAGTCCAGTACAATGCCTGCATTACTGCCTATGGTGCACCAATCCATTTGTCCAGCTCAGCCTTCATCTTCCATCACTTGTGAACAAGATCTAAGCTCCTTTACTTGGGGTAGCACTGACCCCCAACTCAGATGAGGCAAACCACTGGTTTCCAGCAGAGCATCATGGCCTTAGACTTGAAGGTGCTTCACACTAGGCTGCAAACTGCCCCTGTGCAACTAAAGATTACGGCCTGATGAAGCCCAGGAACCATGTATCTGCAAAAAACAGAGATCCAACTAGAGTTTCCCACACTGGACATCCTTCTCATCCTGGTTTCTCTTTGACATCCTGCCCTTGAATACCACAAACAGGACTGGAGACAGGGGGCAACCTTGGTAGAGTCTAACACCCACCAGAAAAAAAACATTTGACATTGTGCCAAGAGCAGTAACACAGCTCTTACTTTGGTAGTATAAGGACCAGATGCCTCCAAACAACAGCATCAGTACTCCATGCTCCCACAATAATCCCCACAAGATTCCTAAAGGACAGGGTTGTAGGTCTTCTACAAGTTTGTAACGTGTCTAACAGAGGTTAATTCAACATAAATACCAAATACTGGCATTGCTTTCCTCCTTCTCTATGCTAGCAGGTGTTGAGCAGTTAAGGACATGGCTGGTCTTACTTTCTGCCCTTTTTTTTTGTCCTGAAGCATTTACTCCAATAAAGCAGCTGACGCCCTGCTTCATGTTTACACTTGTAGCTGCATTCCTAATGAGCATGATATGGGTTTTCTGTGTTTACGCTCTCAGAGATTCTTTCTGAAACAGTGCTAAAACATCTATATTTTTTGTCATGCCATTTCAAATGAAAATATATTAGTGTGGATGCAGCCTAAGACAATTTCAGGTCAGAAGAGAACGACAGACGGCTAATTGTTGCTCCGAGTTCCCTTAGTGTGTTAATCCAGTCCTACAGAACAAGTTCAACCTTCTGCTTAACTTGTTCCCTGTAAGTTTAAAGGAAAGATGAAGGACAAGGTCATGACCCCTATGCAAACACAATCAATCCTGTGATCGTATTCCCGAGATGACGTACGCAGGCACCTCCAACTTTGATCTTTCACTCTCCTCTCACACCCTTCTCCCCCACCTCCCCCTCTCCAACTCCCCACTCAAACCACTAAATGGATCCAGAGGTTCGCATGGACGCTGAACGCGCCACAGATGACCACAAGCCCAAAGTCGTTTGGCAGCTATCACACAGGAAGCAGCTCGGAGATATTCCCACCTACTCCCCTCCTCTTCCCTCTTTCTCTCCCTCCTCCTCCCTCCTTTACATCCTCTGCGATGAGGAATGTCCTCCCGCTGCGATAGTAGCCGCAATGTGGAGCAGGCTCCTGTTTCCTGCCCGCATGCATCTGTTCCCTCCAGCGCTGATCCCAGATAGAGGCTTCATCGAGCCTGGGAACTGACCTGAGCTGACAGACATGCAGAGGGGGAGAAAAGAGGCTCAGCCCTGCCTGCCTCGACATCCAAGTTCCCAAGTCAGTCTCTCTTCCTGGAGGCCAGGCCGAGACCATGGTTGTTAAAGTCTAATTAGAGCGTCTTACTTTGGGGACTCCTTCTCATGGAGTGACTGGGAGTGATAATGAGGATCAATGCTTGAGTGGGTAGATGTATGTGATTGCGTGAGTGCAGGGATGGTTTAAAGATGAATAAATTCCTCACAGGGCCATTGAGTACAAAACAAATACACATTTTTATTAAGTTCATGTTTAGTAAAGCAGTGTAAGCATTCAGTGCAAATCTTTTCCCTTTCATAAGAAGCATGAGCTCAGGGTCGTACTACAATCAAGCCAGGGATTTTTGATTAAATAAGAAGCTATCCCTTTGGAAAGGCAGATCCAACACACCCTTTTACTGCTTCAATTCCTCCTCCACCTTGCCTCCACACCCCCCTTTTCTTCTGATCCTGCCTACATACTTTAAATACCCCCTTTTTGAGCAAAGGAGGTTGTGTTCGTGAAACCACGAGCAATCCCTAAAAGGAGCAGTGACGGAGGCACTTCTTTGAGTCATGTGTCCAGGTGTGTAGCGGATCAGATTCCTGCGATTAGATTTATGGCTTAGTCCCAACAAAACCACACCTCCTCCTCATTCAGCAAGGCCCCCTTTTGATGTCCCGGGCAAACATTTCATCGTGGACACATAATTGAAGCTAGAAAAATAAGCCGCTCTCATGACAAGAAAACTTCTTTCTGTCCCTTTCCCTCCCCTCCTTCCTCCTCTGCCTCCTCCACTGGGGGTTTGTTGCTGCTTTTTCAGGCCCTTAATTCCCTCACTTAATAGTGCATTTCCTGCTCACCAACATCACCCACAGTGACATTGTGCACGTGACCACTAATACTATACAGTGCAATACAATATTTTGTATTCATATAATTTTGGAAGCATCGCTGACAAATCAAAGTAACAGAAGTTTTCATGACATCAATGTAGAAACTGTGATTATTCCAGGAAAAAAAAAAACAATCACTACTGAAAACGTTTGGATGTATAAAATTCAGGAGCATGCTTTGACGCCAATTAGAAAAACAGGATCTTCGTTGGTTTCCTGTTTGAAATGCACAAACGCACAAAAAGTAATACGATTAAATATTTCCGTTTTGTAAAATAATGTGAGTGGGACTCCAGATGAGTCAGATTTCCCTTTAAAAGTGAACAAGTTTGATACCTTACTTTTTTAGGGACTTCATGAACCAGCCATGAGTGAATGAGGAGTTTGAATGGAGTTGCTATTTTGAGAAGGTAACAGAGGGATAGTGGGACATAGTGTTTGATGCCCCAGATGTTACAGATCATCGTTTTAATTGAAGCTACTTGTGTTTTCGGTCAAAGAAACCACACGTCAGCACGTTGGGAACTGAACAGATAAGTTAAATAAAATGAGCCAGTATCATGATACATCATAGCAGTCCATGTGAAAGTAAATCCACGCCTTCCTCCTGCGACACGTCTTCTGTCTTGCACAATACTGAGGGGTTAGTTAAGATCCGTTCAGGCGCAATGTCTCTTCCCCTGCAGCGAGGGGTGACAGTCTTATCTGTGGTTCACCTACACCTGGAGCGGGTGGCTTCCAGAGCTTTCTGGTGCCTCCGTTTGTTGAACCTCTTGACGTAGTTGTTGCTCCGCAGGAGGCCGTCACCAGGCTTCAGTTTCCCACCCAGCAGGTTCAGGAGGTCACTGGGAAGATGACGCCTCCGGTGGTAGATCTGACCCATTATAATGTATCTGGTTCCTTGGGAACAAACGAGAGAGAACGGTGAGGGGACATAAAAAAAATGCAAAGTCAAGCAAATTTTATGTTTGTACTAAACAAGTAGTTGTTACTACTTTTGCTGATCTCAGGAAAATGGAATTCCCACATCCCACAAAGGGATACTTTGGTGTAAACTTGTCACACACTTCTTAATTTATGAGTCTTGAGGATTGCGCTTACGACGAATATCAATTATCAAACTCTGCACGTCCCAGAATTTATGACTTTAATCTTGAACCTGATCTCTTCATCATCCATGACCAGGGAAATGAACAGTTAAAGACTGGAAACATTTGTGAAACTTTATTATTTCTTAATATTAGAGCCTGACTGGTTCTGGATTTCTGGGGCTGACACCAATTTCAGGGAACAATTCTGATATATTAAAAAGGGGAAATGATGGCGTTATTGTTTATTGTTTATTGGATCATTGCTTTCCAGCAGTGATGAGAGTATCGAAAAGTTTGGAGTTGGAGCTGTTCTGCTGGACAAACTACATAATGGCACCATTTCCTAGCTTCCCCCAAGCATCTTTTTCTCTATTACGTTCTATAAAAGAAAGTTTTCACATCGGCACATATCAGACATCATATACACCAATACTGACCAACATCAGCGGGGATTTACTTTTTTGTTTCATCAACTACACAATTTGATTCCTAACAAAGTCGCACACTAAACTGCACCCCAATGCTCTGCACAGATGTAGACATTTGCCAGTTTTAGTCTTTCACTGAATCAAATAGGTTTTCTCAGCCAGTTTGAAAGCAGATATTTAGTCTCACGAGGCTTTTGAATTAATGCTGTAACACTCACCAAGTTTGATATCAGGACAAGGTTTGCTGCACTTGTAGGTATCCAGCACCAGGAGGCGAACTTTGAAGAAAAAGCTGTCTGGGGTCACATACAGACGGCTCATCTTGTAGAAGCCGTCACTGCTGACCATCAGCGTGATGAGTCGTATTCCTTTGCGCAGCACATCAATGTCGTGGACAATCCCATTGACCGCTGTATCCAGAAGGCAGACAAACACGATCAAATTTCAAGATATTGGAAATTCACATCACTATGACTCTGGCTTTAAAGGTCCCATATGGTGACAACCCATTTTCATTGTGTTTAGTGGTTTACAGTTGGAGGTGTAAAGTGAGGGTTGTTAAGATACGCAGATGTTTACTTCTGCTGCTCCTCCAACCTCTACTCCACAACGAGACAAACCAGACAGAGTCTTACTTAAATGCTACCTTCCAAAAGATGAAATCAATGGTTGTTTGGCTCAAACTTTTTAAAATCCTGCCCCCTCATTGACCGCTGCTTACAAGGTGAGCCAGCCAGAATGAACGGCTGTCTCATGGTTGGCTGTGCTGTGAATTCTTTTATGTGAAAAGATAATGGTTGCAAATCACATACTTAATGTTTTTACTTTCATTAGGTACTACAGCTGTCCTCACAAAATACATCCTCTTTCTTGCAATATGAATATAATTGGGACATACTACTTAGTCATAATAAACTTAAGTTTAAACTTTGACTGATCAGGAAATCATACTGGCCTGCATACTGCAAAACCAGATGTGGTAGAGCATCCTGGTATTAGACTATGTACTATATAGTATGGCAGTATGGGTATTGGAATGCAATTAACCTGTCAATCACAGGCACAGAGAGAGTCTTCTTCCTGAAGGGGGTGTAGACAGTTAAGTTGCATTTAAAGCTACAGTCACTGACACAGCCTGTTTAGAGTAGATCTCAAACCAGGGGTTTTACAGTCAGGGTAAAGTGAGCCATCTTTGTAATGTTTTGAGCTGAAAGACACATTGTGAGACTAATTTGCTGAAAATGGGCACAATATGGGACCTTTATTTTAGTACTTCTAGTCTCATGATACATGTTTAGCTGCTAGTTCCAAGTAGAAAATAGTGATTCACTTGCTAATTAGAAATAGTTCAGGATTAAAGTATAACTTGGTAAGAAAAGTGCCGAATAAATCAAGATTATTAATCACATGATTGTTATCATAGAATAAAACAAAATCACTGCAGTTTCCACTGACTGCTCAGACCTTCTCAAGCTCCTCCTGCATTTCACCTTTGTTTGTGCACCTTTGACAAAGTCTGCCTTTGTCTCACACTGGGTACATACCAAACTCGCTGTAGCAGTAATACTCTCTCTCCTCCTTCTCCTTCCTGCACTCGCTCATGCAGAAGGCGTCATGCGCGAAGTCGGACTCTGCGGAGAAGAGGAGAATCGGGATGAAGGGATGAGAGAGAAGAGAGAGAAGAGAGAGCGACTGTCTGCCATTCCTGACCCTCATTCCAGCGTCATTAGACAGGACAAGGTTGTCATTACACAACCCAGGCGTCGCATTCCTCAGCAGGGGGACTGGAGGAGGCGGTGTGCGTCATGGGATCACACTGGTGTTACAGTTTCAATCTTAATTACAAAATCAGAGCCTTCTCACTCTACTTTGCGTTAGTTTCATTACAACCTCCCAGAAGCGTGCACACAAAGGGACACGCTGACAGCCAGATTTGAGGGAAGTGGTTATAATTAGTGGCAGGGGGGGGACGTTAATTAACTAGGAAAAACTCTCATCGCTCACGTTACAGCTCTCTGTGTGAACTCTCTGTGTCGCTGTAAATAATATGACTGTTATTTCTGCAAAGGTGGCAAGAAATGGGACTTTTTAAAAGTGTTTGAGATGTGGGAGGAGATGAGCAAAGCATCACAATTACATGTTGAGCCAGCAAGTTTAGCGTCTGAGCATTTTGGTATATTATCACAATATCCAGGTCATTTTTTTATCTAACAAAAAAAAAACTACAGCAAAGTTAAACCTAAATGCAACTTTTTCCAGTCTTTAGTAATGCAAAAAAAAAAAAAGAAGCTCTTTTTGCTTTGGTAGTTTGTCACTGTGATCATGTAATATAGTGTTTTAAAGGTCAAAGGCCACAGATTATTATTAGTAATAAATACTGACATTAAGCATCAAAGGTTTCCCAGCTGGCTAAAGTCTTATACAATTTTAATAATTTGAAATATATAATCCTAGAAGGGAGTAACATGTACAGATCCTGTTTTAAGATGTGTGGACTGCTCTGTATTAACACACAGGTCAGATTTGAAGGTCAGGAAACAGCAGATCCTCCCATACCTCGCCTCAGGATGTCAAACTGGTACAGCAGGCTGGAGGAGCGCCGGTTGAAGACCACCGGCGGGCGGCTGTTGTTGCGGGTCGCGGCACCGAGACCAGACTGATAGAGGCTGGACTTCCCCGGCCGGTTCTCCTCCGGGTCCATCCTCCGGTTGGGGGGATCCCTGCGTGGAGAAGAAGTCTGCGGAGGCTGAGCCGGGGGCTGAGTGTGGGACGGAGGCCTGGCTCTGGAGTTGGGGTGTCCCTCCGGCTCGCTCTGCTGAGGCGGGCTGATGTTGGGCTGGACGTCCTGGTTGGTCTTCTGCACCGTGCGGTTGGAGGCAGCACCTGCAGCTCCTGTCAGCTGGGTTTTGGGAAGCAGGCCGATGACTTCCCCCCTGTTCTTCTCGCTGTTGTGCTCCACCAGACGGTCGCTCTTGGGCCCCTTTTTGCTCTTGTTGTGGGGGCTGTGGTGGCGAGGGATGGGAGCCAGGTCGCTGTGCTTCGGCCACACGGCAGCTGGGAGAGGATGGTTAAATTTGGACTCGCTGGTCTTGCTGCTCTTCTCTATGAGCTCGTTGATGGGCAGCGTGGGCTCTTTAACCATCAGTCGACTCTGGTTGCTCAGGACTGGATCCACAAAGCTGCTCTGGCCCTTTTCAATCAGGGTGTACAGCTCTATATTTGGAACACACAGTTGAACTTTAGTTACACAATTTAATATGGATGTAAACACGCAATCAAACTGGAACTTGCTGCTTGAACTGGAGGTTTTTCAGTAACTTTTACTTTGAAAACTGCACCTACAATGATGCAAACTGTAACTAACTTAGCTTTTTATCTCAATCACACTCTATCACGGTTTCAGCGTGCAATATTTTCCCCTGTGCAGACAAACAAAAATACGACTGCTGATCTCTGTATCTTTTTTTGCAGCATTTTCAGAGATGATTTTGACAAATAACACAATAACCACTAACTGGTTGCAGTCACAGTTGTCCAGCAGCAAATAATAAACTACAACACTGAGTAACGGTGCAGTGAAAGTTACACCATTATTACACAGCATCTGAAAAAAGCAACAAGTAAAGTAAGAAGGGTTTAAACATAAAATGTCACCATAAATCTTCACTATTCAAAGTAATACAATGATTAATATTGTTTCCACTCACCATTAACAACATGTTCCTCTGCGTGGTAAAGAGGAAACACTAGAAACAAAAGGATCAGAGTATTCCCTGTCATCCTGGATGCTCAGCCTGGACACACTTTAAGGTCTGCTGCACAGTTGGGATTCCTGGGATTTTTATAGGAGCGCTCAGGAAGGAGATGGGATGGAGAGGGAGGCGGTGGGACGTCCCAAACACAGAAATAAACATTTGTAGCGTGACACTCCTTTCATTCATAGGTGGATTCAGAACAAGCCCACAATGCAGTTTGCAGTATATGAAGGAAAATGTGTCTCTGTGTGGACATAATCTGCTGTGCGTATGGTAAGTTTTATAAAAAGGGAAGCCAGTTTCTGGTGTCTGGTGTTAAATGTTGTAAACTTTGTCTATTACTTGTTTCCCTGCTTTGTTCTCTAGAAAAAGGAAAGCAATAATAATACAAAATAGACACTACTTATGAACATGTGTTTATGAATTTTCAGTAATTTTTGCGCATAATGATGAGCTGACTGAATTTAGAAACACAAGCCTTCACTGCCCTCTGGTGGTCAAAACGAGGAACTGCAACATCGCGTTTAATTAGTCAAGCTGGCGTCATTGAGGACATTCTAGCTACAAATGCAATTATATGCATTTCATTATTTATTTTTGATATATGCTAATACTTATAATTACAATTTTTGATTTGAAAAATGGTTTTATCTAAACTTTTTTAAGCACTGTAACTAGTTTAATTTGAATACAACTATAACAAGCTTAAATGTTACAGGAACGTTTCGTGTGCAATTAATTGTAAAAGGAATATATTTGTAGCATTTCAATTGCTGTACTTATTATCTTATTTGTATTTTTGTACATTTTGCACCACGTTTTTTTACATGATGACTTTCACATTTTGCCTTTTTCTTACATTTTTTTAATGGCATTACAACATTACTGAATCGTGCAGATGAGTGGAATATCTGATAAATGCAGAATAAACTGGGGAGAGATCTTTTCATAGATGATGCCTTGCCAATCTTCAGCACTGAAGTGGCTTTACTGGTGGGAGGAAATCAGAGGAAGTGTATTTGAGGTACATTGATGTGATACAAAATAAGCTTCTGTGTGTTTATTTAAATATAAGAATACACATATAGAAACTTATGGAGTCAAATACAAGGATGTAAATTAGTTTGAACAACAAAAAAGCAACATTTTTTGTAATATGGCAAAGTGTAAGAACAGAAGGGAATACAACGGATAAGGGAATATGCCATGAAGCCGACCATGCACATAAATGATTTTCAGTACCTTATGTAAGATTTTTGATGATATTTTTCTTAATACTTAATAGCTAACAGGCAGTAAAACATTTATCATCATGAGGGAAGATGCCCCTGTTCAAGATTTTAGATTTAGTTTTGTATTAAGAAAGTCATGATTTCATTACTATCTAAATTTGTTCACATAACCATGCTTTTTGTGTAGCTATTATATTGATATTTAATATATAAATTTATCTTTTTTGTAATCAATAGATGTTGTTCTTAAGGAATGTGTCTCAGCAGGCAGCTCTAGGACAGAACAGGAACAGTACTAAAAATGTTTAGACTTTAGCTGAAACACCACACATGGAGCAATTTTATGAATATCATTTGAGCAATATCAGTTTCAGTATTTTGTGCAATGTTTCAGTTTCACGTGAAATATATTAGGAATGCATCCTGTCTTATTGCTATTCTATTAGGCACTGCATTTGTTCTAATGGTATTGCTTTTTTCCCTAAACAACAACAAGAAAAAAACATCTGGAATCTTAAATTATTATAAAACATGATTTGCATTATCTTCTACAGTAGTATCAATTTTGTAATTTGAGTGCACTGTGATTTTTTTTACCATCATAAATGACATGCCCAGACTGCTCTGATAAAAACAGCTGTTTTAAGGATGCCATGTAGCGCCATGCATAACCACATATCTGTGTTTACAAGTTGGTTGAACACTATTCGACGCCGTTCTTCGAAGGATGCTCATCATGAGCAGAGATCCATATTTAAGCCCTGAAAAGGAAGCTAAATGCGACCCAGATGGGACTCGAACCCACAATCCCCAGCTCCGGAGGCTGATGCCTTATCCATTAGGCCACTGGGTCATTACGGTACTTTGAGGGAAAAACATTCTTTATGGAATCAAAAGAATGTCAGTAAACCGCCTTTAAAACGTGCGTTCCGGTATTAAAGAATTCACGACGGTTTAGTTGAGCTAAATAACAGTTACCCACGGCACCATGGGTGTTATAGACAAAGCAGGAAAGCAGCAATAACAACCAACCAGCGCGCAATAATGCAGCCGCATTATCTCGCGATACTAACAGCGGTTGCCTCTGACAACGGCTTTGTGGTTTAATACATTCTTTAACCTTGTCGAAAGGGGCGGGGCTATTAGTCCGACGGACCAATCAGAAGTCAGAAACGAACAGGGCGGTTTGTCCGTGACGTCTCTGGTGTGAAAAAAAAACACACACACACAAGCGATCTGGAAGGTAAGCACGTTGCGTTTAATCTGTTGCTAAATGTCGGTTTTTAGCTATTTTTATTGCTTTTTTAACTGTTAAATTACTGCTATTTGTTTCTAATTGCGTGTACAATCGTTTATTGCTATGGTTTTTTTTTTTTTGTAGCGGGTTTGCTTACGAGTGTAGCTTCGTGTGCGATGTGCCACATGGTGTTAGATAACCGGCTCGGCTTCGAGGCTGCCGTCCGGTTAGCTAGCTTTACCGCCCGCTAACTCGATAGCACAACCTTTAAAACATTATAGGAATTTGTTGAAATCAGTCGTTTAACATTTTGTCGCTTAACTGTCTTCATTTAACAGTAAGTGTCCTTGACGTTATTTGGTGGAATCTCGTCCCGCTCAACGGTCAGGAATGTCAGCTGGCAACGACAGCGGAGCTCGACTCAGCCAGTTCAAAAACAAAGGCAAAGATGCCAGCGTAAGCTCTGCCACTTACTGCAAGCGTGAGAAAACTAAACCGAGTAAGCTAATCGTACTAAATGCGGCCTTATGTCTCCTAACATCTCCAGGAGCTGAGGCGCAGGAGAGCAGAAGTCAATGTGGAGCTCCGAAAAGCGAAGAAAGATGATCAGATCCTGAAGAGGAGAAACGTCCAATGCCTCGAGGACGAGCCGACCTCCCCTCTGCAGGAGAAAAATCCCAACGGAGAGGTAAGTCTGTCTGCCGCTTGATTAAACAGGACGCAGCTGAAGTAAATACAGCTGAGTGTTTGTGGCTAGCAAGCCAGAGAGAGAAAGTCTGCTCAGAATGAACCTTCAAGGCTTATATAGGAAACAGACCCACACTAAGTGGCTAAAGGTCAGTGATAATCTTGGAGCAGACATATTTGTCTGACAGCAGTGTGAAAGATGTCACACTTGAGTTCAACATTTTTCCTAGCTGATCCAAGAAAAGTCATTGTCACTGTTGTTAAGGCTTAATAAGCCGTAAGTACAACAGTAATAACAGGGCGAGATGTTTTTTTTTTTTGTTGTTGTTTTATTTTAACAGTTGATCTGCATCCTGAATCTCTGACCTAAACATGTTCCAAGAATGTTTCAAAGAATGTTTCAGGATATCTTTAGCTGCTCTTTGACCCAGGTTCACTGGGCTCTAATCCTCTTCCATTTCTGTTTCCGCAGTCTCCTCAGCACTTGTCTGTGGAGGAGATCGTACAAGGTGTGAACAGCCAGAACCTAGATCAGCAGCTGCAGGCAACACAGGCAGCCAGGTAAGATCATTTGAATCGCACTTTAACTGAAAGGGTTTTAATGTCTTAATTGTTCTTACTGTTTAAGCCCCAACATTGTGGAACAAGCTCCTCCTAACAGCTCAGGTCGTTCCTCAGTTTAAAAGGCTTTTAAAAACATGTATATGCTTGGTTATTGGTCTTTTTTAATATATTGCATAATATTGTGTTCTGTATTGCACTGATGTTTTATTTCTTTTACTGTTTAATGTATTTCTTTTGCTTGTGAACCCCTGTTTTCAAAGGTGCTACAGAAATAAAACTTATTGTTATTGTTGTTATTCTTATTATTGTAGTAAATATTTTTCATTCGACTATGTTATTACTGTCAGATGTTATGCTTGCACAGAATCCATTGACTTAATTCTATCAGGGTTCAAGCATATTTTGTTGCACCTAATTACCTGTTAGGTAGTTTTACTTCAGTGATATGTGCTTCAACTGTATTTCCAATCAAGCGTATCCACCGGCAACAATTACATGTGTTTTTTGTTTTTTGTTTTTCCCCCCCCCAAATGTACAGAAAGCTCCTCTCCAGAGAAAAACACCCACCCATTGACAGTATCATTGCAACCGGCATCATCCCGAAGCTTGTTAGTTTTCTGGCGTTGTCTCAATGCCCTCCGATCCAGTTTGAGGCAGCCTGGGCCCTGACTAACATCGCCTCCGGTACCACAGACCAAACCACTGCTTTGGTGGAAGGTGGGGCCATTCCAGCCTTCATCAACCTGGTGACATCACCCCACCAGCACATCAGCGAGCAGGCTATCTGGGCCCTGGGAAACATCGCAGGTACTGTGGATTGACAAGCGTCAGCGTCTGTTAGGGTTACGTTGTTGTGTGCAATTATGCTACCTGTGTTTTGTCTGGACTTGTTTTTGGCTTGTGATGCTGAAGGCTTTTAATTCTTGTAAAATTTATGTCTTGTGAAATCATGAAATGTGTTGTGTATGCACTGAATGCATCGTCCAAAGACCATTTGTGCAAGCTATAATGGAAACCATTTCCTTTCATAACTCTTTGGATGTTGTCCCAGTTAGTAAAGGCTCTTGCATATTATGGTTGTGGAAAGTCCCTATTAAATCTGTCATGTTTATCCCCTACGGTAGCCTAGTGTAGTGTTAATTAGTTTAGTTGCTGTGTACTTTGTTCTTATTATCATATACAAGAGGTGACTGTCAATTTCTTTTCCTTCTAAATTCAGGTGATGGATCCAATTTCAGAGACCTCGTGATCAAACATGGTGGTCTCCAGCCCCTTCTAGCCTTACTGGCAACCCCTGACCTGTCCATATTTCCTGTAAGTTGCCATCAATTCTTGT